CTTTTGCAGCCAAAGAACCCTTTCCTTGCAGTTGGCTCAGAGCAATAGTGGGTATGGATTTGCCTCAGGGAAGGGGCACTGCAGGCTCTGTGCATCCCTGCTCCCTGGGGAAGGGGCACTGCAGGCTCTGTGCATCCCTGCTCCGTGGGGAAGGGGCACTCCAGCCTCTGTGCATCCCTGCTCCGTGGGGAAGGGGCGTTCCAGCCTCTGTGCATCCCTGCTCCGTGGGGAAGGGGCACTGCAGCCTCTGTGCATCCCTGCTCCGTGGGGAAGGGGCACTGCAGCCTCTGTGCATCCCTGCTCCCTGGGGAAGGGGCACTGCAGGCTCTGCATCCCTGCTCCGTGGGGAAGGGGCAGAGCAGGCTCTGTGCATCCCTGCTCCCTGGGGAAGGGGCACTGCAGGCTCTGCATCCCTGCTCCGTGGGGAAGGGGCACTGCAGGCTCTGCATCCCTGCTCCGTGGGGAAGGGGCACTGCAGGCTCTGCATCCCTGCTCCGTGGGGAAGGGGCACTGCAGGCTCTGCATCCCTGCTCCGTGGGGAAGGGGCACTGCAGGCTCTGCATCCCTGCTCCGTGGGGAAGGGGCACTGCAGGCTCTGCATCCCTGCTCCGTGGGGAAGGGGCACTGCAGGCTCTGCATCCCTGCTCCGTGGGGAAGGGGCACTGCAGGCTCTGCATCCCTGCTCCGTGGGGAAGGGGCACTGCAGGCTCTGCATCCCTGCTCCGTGGGGAAGGGGCACTGCAGGCTCTGCATCCCTGCTCCGTGGGGAAGGGGCACTGCAGGCTCTGCATCCCTGCTCCGTGGGGAAGGGGCACTGCAGGCTCTGCATCCCTGCTCCGTGGGGAAGGGGCACTGCAGGCTCTGCATCCCTGCTCCGTGGGGAAGGGGCACTGCAGGCTCTGCATCCCTGCTCCGTGGGGAAGGGGCACTGCAGGCTCTGCATCCCTGCTCCGTGGGGAAGGGGCACTGCAGGCTCTGCATCCCTGCTCCGTGGGGAAGGGGCACTGCAGGCTCTGCATCCCTGCTCCGTGGGGAAGGGGCACTGCAGGCTCTGCATCCCTGCTCCGTGGGGAAGGGGCACTGCAGGCTCTGCATCCCTGCTCCGTGGGGAAGGGGCACTGCAGGCTCTGCATCCCTGCTCCGTGGGGAAGGGGCACTGCAGGCTCTGCATCCCTGCTCCGTGGGGAAGGGGCACTGCAGGCTCTGCATCCCTGCTCCGTGGGGAAGGGGCACTGCAGGCTCTGCATCCCTGCTCCGTGGGGAAGGGGCACTGCAGGCTCTGCATCCCTGCTCCGTGGGGAAGGGGCACTGCAGGCTCTGCATCCCTGCTCCGTGGGGAAGGGGCACTGCAGGCTCTGCATCCCTGCTCCGTGGGGAAGGGGCACTGCAGGCTCTGCATCCCTGCTCCGTGGGGAAGGGGCACTGCAGGCTCTGCATCCCTGCTCCGTGGGGAAGGGGCACTGCAGGCTCTGCATCCCTGCTCCGTGGGGAAGGGGCACTGCAGGCTCTGCATCCCTGCTCCGTGGGGAAGGGGCACTGCAGGCTCTGCATCCCTGCTCCGTGGGGAAGGGGCACTGCAGGCTCTGCATCCCTGCTCCGTGGGGAAGGGGCACTGCAGGCTCTGCATCCCTGCTCCGTGGGGAAGGGGCACTGCAGGCTCTGCATCCCTGCTCCGTGGGGAAGGGGCACTGCAGGCTCTGCATCCCTGCTCCGTGGGGAAGGGGCACTGCAGGCTCTGCATCCCTGCTCCGTGGGGAAGGGGCACTGCAGGCTCTGCATCCCTGCTCCGTGGGGAAGGGGCACTGCAGGCTCTGCATCCCTGCTCCGTGGGGAAGGGGCACTGCAGGCTCTGCATCCCTGCTCCGTGGGGAAGGGGCACTGCAGGCTCTGCATCCCTGCTCCCAGCTTCCCTGGAACAGCAGACACGGAGTGGGAGGAGCCCCTGGCAGGGAGGGTCAGGTGGGATCTCAGGAACAGGTTCTTCCCCAGAGGGTGCTGGGCCCTGAGCAGGGCCTGGTCCCGGTCCTGAGGCTGCCAGAGCTCCAGGAGTGTTTGGACAGCGCTCCCAGGGATGGGATTTGGGGGGGTCTGTGCAGGTGATCCCTGTGGATCCCCTCCAGCTCAGGATATTCCATGACTCCATGAGTCCAAGGACTGCTCTCTGCTTCCATCCATGTGCTGGGTGTTGAATTCCCAGCTCCCTTAAGCAGAGGGGCACAGGGAAGGATCCAGGCTCTGTCCCTGCTGGTTGGACTCGGGGGTCCCGGTGCAGGCTCTGACCCCCGTGTCCAGCAGGGATGTGTTACACACACAGCACCTGGCACACGTTCTCACAGGAACAGCCACAGGAACGGCGGGTCTGCTCTTCCTGGGCTCTGCAGATCCTCCAGCAGGGCTGCTCCAGGTGGAAGTTCCCTGAGGAGAGCTCGGGAGGGGAGCTGGGATATATTGAACAGTTGTTCATGACTTGCTAATGTGTAAATGCTTTTCCAAAGGCACTGGAGAGGTTTTTAGTGAGTTTTAGTCTGCTCAGTAATGAGCTTTCCTTACTTGCCTGAGTGGATTCCATGGAAAAATATCTTGGGACCATCTGTCCTAAGGCATGGAAGGTGTGGCCAAGGTGGGGAAGGTGGGCTCAGTTCACGGGGTATTGGCACAGAGATGTATGGAAAAGGTGCAACACACTTTGATTCATTCATGTGCTTGGAGCTGAGCTGTGTCCCTGAAACCTATGGCCCCATCCCTGGTGGTGTCCCAGGCCAGGCTGGACTCTGGGCCTTGGGGCACCCTGGGACAGTGGAAGGTGTCCCTGCCATGGTGGGGCTGGCACTGGGCGAGCTTTAAGGTCCTTCCCACCCAAACCATTCCATGATTCCCTGATTTATACAAAATGGACTTTCACTCTTGATTGATATTTTTAGTTTGTTGGTATTATTTGGGCCATGCCTTTCCAATGACAGCCACAGCTCTTTGTGTATATTTGGGATATTTGGGACCAGCTGCTCATGGAAGGAGCTGCCTCTTGAACTCCTTTGGGTTTTGCTTTCACTAGACTTCAGCTGAGTTCTTTGGGTGTTTGGCCAGCCTCCCAAGGGGGACACGGCTCCACTTCTGCTGCCCTGTCCTGACAGCTCGGCAGGGTCTGGCTGCCGTGGGAATGAGGCTGGATGTGGGGGAATTGTGATCATCAGGAGCTGTGTCAGCTGCTTGCCCCTGAGCAGTGTCACCAGGCGTGTCCCTTGGCCAGCAGATGTGTCCTGGTGACACAGCAGTGACATGGGGTGGTGGCAGGAGTGCTGGCTGAGGTGACACGGCAGTGACGTGGGGTGGTGGCAGGAGTGCTGGCTGTGGTGACATGGCAGTGACATGGGGTGGTGGCAGGAGTGCTGGCTGTGGTGACATGGCAGTGACACGGGGTGGCAGGAGTGCTGGCTGAGGTGACATGGCAGTGACACGGTGGCAGGAGTGCTGGCTGTGTCCAGGGTGTCCCTGGAGGCTCTCTGGAGCCATTCCCATGAGGATGTGCCAGAGCTCGGGGCTTGCTGGGGTCAGCCAGGATCTCTCGGTGTCCTGGCTCCGCAGGGATGTGCAGTGCCTGTGAGAACTGATGGAGAGAGGTTCAGGTTGGATATTGGGAACAAATTCCTGCCTGGGAGGGCAGGCAGGCCCTGGCACAGGGTGCCCAGAGCAGCTGGGGCTGCCCCTGCATCCCTGGCAGTGCCCAAGGCCAGGCTGGACACTGGGGCTGGAGCAGCCTGGCACAGTGGCAGTGTCCCTGCCATGGCAGGGTGGCACTGCAGGGGCTCTGAGGTCCCTTCCCACCCAAATAATTCCAGGATTCCCTGGCTGTGGAATGCAAAGCCAATTGAGACTGAGACAAGTTCTCCCTTCCAACCCCCCCCATTGCTCCCTGTCCCAGCCTCTTCTGTGCATTGTGAGAATTCCGTGTGTTCTTCCGTGGCTCTTCCAGCCTTGAGCTCTCCAAAGCATCAGTATCCTTTTAAGCCAGAGTTGTGCAGGATTTTATGGAACTCTTGGCATTTGTGGCCCGGCAGAGAATTGCTGAGGAGGTTCTTGTTGGAGGTGCCCCTGCTCATGGCAGGGGTCGGGCTGTGCTCCAGGGAACAGGGACAGGAGCAGAGGGAACGGCCTCAGGCTGGGCCAGGGGAGCTCAGGGTGGAATCAGCAGGAATTTCCCCATGGAAAGGGGGTCAGGCCTTGGCAGGGGCTGCCCAGGGAGCTTTGGAGTGCCCATCCCTGGAGGTGTCCAAGGAGTTCCTGGAGGTGGCACTCAGGGCTCTGGGCTGGGGGCAAGGTGGGCATTGGGCACAGCTGGGACTGGCTGGGCTGGGAGGGCTTTTCCAACCTTCCTGAATCTGGGACTCTGTCAAAGACTTTTGGACACAGATTCCAAGGAAAAAGGCATCAACGTTTAGAAATAAAATCCTGAACAGTTTTTGTTCAGATCAATGCCCTTGGTTTGTGTGAATGTTGTACCTGCAGTTAAGTAACCATTGATTTGAAGATGAGGAAATACATTTATATTCACATTACACATAATTTCCATTTATTGTGGGGACATGCTGCTGGTTGGTCTCTGTTTGGATGTATCCCACAGCACACCAGGAATTCCTGGAGTTCAGGACATTGGTTAAATCCCAGCTCTGGGGTTGTGGGGGAGCTCATGGGCTGAGCCAAGCTTAGTTCTTCCTCTGTGATCCCCTTCCACTATCCCCAATTGTTCTGATCCCCATCCAGCCTGGCCTTGGACACTTCCAGGGCTGAGCAGTTCACGTTGCCCAGTGCTGCAGGACAGGGGGAGCTGGGATAACTGGGAGGATCCTGAGTGACCTGATTGGTGATTCCTTGGCAGGGGCTGTCAGTGCCTGTGATCTTCCTTTGAGCTGAAAGGTTCTGTGAAAGTTCATTTAGGGAAAAAATAAAAGCCTTTTGCCCTCAGGTACCTTTGCTTATTAGAAACTTTCAAAAATCTTTTCCAGGATTGGAAGCTTGCAAAGGAATTCACACTGGATGAAAATCATTTCCTGAAGCTGGGTCTGTTCCAGGAACTGTAACCCAAATGTTTCTCTGTCCGTGGAGGAGATTTCACATTTGAAGAAACTTCTACTGAAGGTAGGAACATCTCCCTGTCCTTTTGTCTTGGGATGGCTGGGTGGGAAGGGACCCCAGAGCCCCTGCAGTGCCACCCTGCCATGGCAGGGACACTCCCACTGTGCCAGGCTGCTCCAGCCCCAGTGTCCAGCCTGGCCTTGGGCACTGCCAGGGATGCAGGGGCAGCCCCAGCTGCTCTGGCAATTCCAGCCCAGCCAGGAATTCCTCATGGCCAAGATCCCATCCATGGCTGCCCTCTGGCAGTGGGAGCCATTCCCTGTGTCCTGTCCATCCCTTGTCCCCAGTCCCTCTGCAGCTCTCCTGGAGCCCCTTCAGGCCCTGCCAGGGGCTCTGAGCTCTCCCTGGATCCTTCTCCTCTCCAGGTGAGCACCCCCAGCTCTCCCAGCCTGGATCCCTGGGAGCTGAGGGGCTCCAGCCCTGGAGCAGCCCCAGGGGCTGCTGCTTTGCAGGTGGGGTCCCACCTGAGCAAAGGAGTAGAATCCCCCCTCCCCTGTGGGGTCAGCCCAGCACTGGGGGAATTCTGGCCAGGGCCTGTGAAGTTCCTTTTTAAAGGGCCAGTTAATTCCCAGTAATGAGGATGAACTCTGTGATGCTGGGTGCTCAGTTCTGGTGGCTGCTCCTAGGATTGATCCTGGTATTTAATACCCTGAGTCATCTGAGAGGGAGCTGTGGTGTCCCAGGGATATTCCTGGGGATGGAGTCCGGGCTGAGGGGCCCAGTCCCTGTGTCCCTGTGCCATCCTTGAGCCTGGGCTGGCTTTTTCCTCATGGAAAGGGGGGTCAGGCCTTGGCAGGGGCTGCCCAGGGAGCTTTGGAGTGCCCATGCCTGGAGGTGTCCAAGGAATTCCTGGAGGTGGCACTCAGGGCTCTGGGCTGGGGACAGGTGGGAGTCAGGCACAGCTGGGTCTGGATGGGCTGGGGGGGCTTTTCCAGCCTCAGGGATTTTGGGATTCTCAGTGTGCTGGCCAGGATCCTCCCTAAAATCAGGTTCAACTGGGAAAAAAGGCCTCTCAGAACCTGATCTCAGGTCCACAATTGCTGGGAAGAGCATGGAACTCCTCTTTCCCTGTTCTCCTGGGCACTGCTGTGGCTGTTGCAGGAAATTCCCTGTGGAGGTGCCCTGCTGTGGGCTCATCGTGGGGCAGGGAAAGGGAACCATCCAGCAGAGCAGCTCAAGGCACACAGGAGGAGCTGCCCTCTCCTGCAGCAGCAGTTCCATTGTGGATTTGCTGCCCTGGCATTCCCTGGAGGCGTGGGAGCAGCAGGATCCTTCCCAGTGCCAGCAGTGGAGTTGCTCACTCAGCTATTTTCCTGTTGGGAATTCCGTTGGGAAAAGCCCCCCTAATGCTCCAAAGGGAAAGATTTTGTATAAAACAAGTTCTCCCATGGAAATAGGTGATGAGTTAAAGATGCACAGATTAGAATGGTTAGGTGGGATACTGGGAAGGAATTCCTGCTGGTAGGGTGATGAGGGCTGGGATGGAATTCCCAGAGAAGTTGTGGCTGGATCCTGGAATGTCCAAGGCCAGGCTGGGTGGGGCTTGGAGCTCCTTGGTCCTTGTGAGAGCTTTGGTAGGCTCAGCCTAATTATTTTTGTGTCCCAAGCAGATGTTGATTCCCTGCTGTTCCTCCTGGGAACAGTGATCCTTCTGGGATCACTCCCATATCCACTGGCCCTGGTTTGGGATCTGCCTGTGCCTTTTCCTCTCTCTAATTTGTGCTGATTCATTTATTCCCTTTCATCCCTCTGCTGAGTCACCAAAGGGAGGGAGTTTTGCTCTAAAGCTGTTTGGGAATTCCATGCCCAACCCTTCCGTGGGAATTCAGCTGAGCCATTGATCAGCCTGGCCTTATCCATCCGTGTTTTCCAGGTGGATTTTCCAGTGGTAGAACAGTTTGCTGAAAAAGCTGATTTGGGGGTTCACGTTCAGCAGGTTCAGTAAAGTGAGATTTTATTCCCTGGGGCTGGAATAACTGTTACTGGATAACTGGAATTAAAGGTGGAGAGTTCTTGGATGGATGTGTGGTCCTGGTGTTCTCCAAACTTCTTGCCATACTGGAACTGGAGGGAATTCCCTACGTTTTGGGCTATTTTCTGTTGCTTTGTGTAGCAAAGCTTAAAATTATTTATTCTTATGGAGGAAATAGAGGAGATCTTGTATTAAAACTTGGCCAAAAAAAAGGATAAGCTTGAAATTCCCATCAGGAATCTGTGTCTGTCCTGGCTAAAATCCACCCTGGATGGAGCTGGACCTGTTCAGCTGGGCCAGAGGTGCTGGAGTTGAGGTTGGCTTTGGGCTTTTGTACTGGGTGTTACCAGGATGGTGGGAGGATCCCAAAACTCTTTTTGGGAACGTCCTTCCCTCAGCACATCTATGTGCTCCCACCTAGTGAAAACATTCAGTGTTTTATTTTAGCAGGAATGGTCTTAAATGGGCCTAAAAAATCAGTAAATCTTGGGAATTTTGTCCTGATTTCCAGGAGGAGTTGCCTGGGGGGTTCCTACCCCTCACTGTTTGCTTTTCCTGGCACTGGAGTGCACAGAGCGTTCTGGAAAGGTTGGAAAACGCTGTGGATGTTTTGTCTGTGCCTGTGTTTGCTGAGGCTCAGGGGAGCCCTGAACTGGCTGAGAATAACCCTGGGAGAATCACAGCAGCCCAGGGCCTGGGTACTCCTGGAGCCGTGGGATCAGGGGGGCTGGGAAAGGCTCCGGGACCCTTTGGAGTCACCTGGGACTGACCCTGGCACTGGCACCACACCCCTGGTCCCTTTGGATCACCTGGGACTGACCCTGTCCCCAGCATCACACCCCGGGTCCCTTTGGAGTCACCTGAGGGTGACCCTGTCCCCAGCACCACACCCCGGGTCGCTTCCCTGCTGTTCCCACTTCAGTCCCCAAAGGGAGCCTTGGTTTCCTGGAGCTGCTGGCAGGAGGAGGCTGGGTGATCATCCATGAAAAATAAATAATTAAAGCACCAATTCCCCATTGGAATTCCCAGCCAGGAGTTCCTCGGGCTCAGAACATTCTTTGTAAAATATTGATTTGGTCCTTTATGCAAATGAGCAGCTCTGGGGTAGGTACTGTCCAGAACATGGCTCTGGGGAGGGTGGAAAATGAAATAAAATGAAATACAATAAAATAAAATAACACAAAACAACATACAACCAAAATAAAATAAAATATGTGTCCTCCCCCTAGCTCCTGAGCAGATGGAGAAGGAGCAAAAGAACTGAACAGAGCAGAGGTGGCAAAAGGGGTCCTTTGTTTGGGGTTTTAACAGCAAGTGCATTACTTGTTGGAACTTTCTATGAACTCAGCTGGAATTTCGTTGGCAGGGAATTAAATATTCCCAACCCTGAGGAGGCAGGGTTTGTTAGTCTTGGAATTCTGTGTTGGAACGGGAAGATTAAATATCTCCTGCATTGTCCCAGAATTCAAACACCCCAACACTGGTTTTTATCATAAATAGGAATTCATTTATGGGTTGGAAACTGGTGCTGCTGTGCTGGGACAGGGGGGCTTGAATCCAGCTGGGACCCAAAGACACCTAGAGAAATCACCTTCCCTGGTGCCTCAGGCTGAGGGAGGGCAGGGATGGATGGGATACTGGGAGGGAATTCCTGCCTGGCAGGGTGGGCAGGCCCTGGCACAGGGTGCCCAGAGCAGCTGGGGCTGCCCCTGCATCCCTGCAGTGCCCAAGGCCAGGCTGGACACTGGGGCTGGAGCAGCCTGGCACAGTGGGAGTGTCCCTGCCATGGCAGGGTGGCACTGCAGGGGCTCTGGGGTCCCTGCCCACCCAAATCGTTCCAGAATTCCCTGAGCCATTGGTGCCCACGCAGAGGATCTTTAATTGCTGTTGTTAATGAGCTGTTCCAGAGCCAGGTGCCTGCAGGGGATGCTGTGGGGCTCTCCTTGGCTGCAGCCTCTCTCCTTCCCAGCCCTGCAGCTCCTGCAGAGCCTTGGGGGCTTGGTGTGACACTGGAATTTCCCTGCGTGGGGCTGGGATATGCTCCCCTGAATGCATCTCAGCTCCAGCCCCGCAGCAGGTACTGACACAGAGCTGCTCTCCTGGAGCCCTCCTGGGTGTTGCTCTCATTGGATATTCCAGAAATAAAATCAGCAGCCAGGAAGGGCTGTGAGTGTCCACCTGAAAAAGGGAAAATGTCTCTGCTTTACTGGTGGAGAAGTGACCTAAATTTAAGCACTGAGACTGGGGAAATGGCAGATCCCATGGAATCAGAGAGTTGTGGAATGGATTGGATAAAAGGAACCCCAGAGCCCCTGCAGTGCCACCCTGCCATGGCAGGGACACTGCCACTGTGCCAGGCTGCTCCAGCCCCAGTGTCCAGCCTGGCCTTGGGCACTGCAGGGATGCAGGGGCAGCCCCAGCTGCTCTGGCAATTCCAGCCCAGCCCCTCTCCTCTCTCTCAGGGAAGGGCAGGCAGCTTTTCCTGGAGATGTATAAAAAGTTCAGTAAAGCTGTGGAATTGCCAGGATTACAATGGGTGTCAGTTTGGAAGGTGAGAATTCCGTCTGGATTCCACACCAATGGAAGGAATATTTCTGCATTTGGGTTGACTGAGCCCCCAAACCTCCTTCACTCAAGGCCTTTGGTGCCAGATTTTCCCTCGGTGAATTTATAACCAAGCAGAGATGGTTAAAAATACCCAAAGAACAGTTTGTGAGGAACACACCGAGCCCAGCAGTGCTGTCACTGCAGTGTCACGTAGGTTGAACATTCAGATGGCTGCTCCCAGCTCCGAAATTCAGTGCTGAAATCCCAGAATCCTAAAATCCCTGGGGCTGGAAAAGCCTTCCCAGCCCTCCCAGTCCCAGCTGTGCCTGACCCCCACCTGTCCCCAGCCCAGAGCCCTGAGTGCCACCTCCAGGAATTCCTTGGACACCTCCAGGGATGGGCACTCCAAAGCTCCCTGGGCAGCCCCTGCCAAGGCCTGACCCCCTTTCCATGGGGAAATTCCTGCTGATTCCACCCTGAGCTCCCCTGGCCCAGCCTGAGGCCGTTCCCTCTGCTCCTGTCCCTGTTCCCTGGAGCACAGCCCGACCCCCCCGGCTGTCCCCTCCTGGCAGGGACTTGTGCAGAGCCACAAGGTCCCCCCTGAGCCTCCTTTGCTCCAGGCTCAGCCCCTTCCCAGCTCCCTCAGCCCTCCTGGGGCTCCATTCCCTCCCCAGCTCCATTCCCTGGACACTCCAGCCCCTCCAGGGCTTTCCAGAGCTGTCCCCAGGATTCTGGGGAAAATCCTGATGTGTAAAAGAAACTCAGTTTTTCCCCTGTTCCATGTCCTGGTTCTGTGAATGCTTCACTCGAAGCTTCACTGTTTAAGTAACAGCATGAAGGACTGGGAGGTTTAAAATCTGATGGGAAAATTGGGGTCTTCAGCCTTTTGCAAGGCCTTGCTCTGGTGACTGGGAGGCAGAGCCCGCTCAGTGTCATTCCTGGGGGGAAAATGGGTTTTTAGGAGGACAGTTTCCAGGCTGTCCTGTAGCTGAGGTTATGCAGAACGTGACCAGCAGAGGATCAGGCACAGGGACATTTTTGGATGCTGGGAAAGCCAAAGGAATGGATGGAGAGAGTTCTGTGTGCGGAAATGGGGATGTGGGTTAGGTTAAAAACAGCCTTGTGATCCTGGGTATGGAATCACATGGTGCTGCTGGATCATCTGGGAATGTGGCACAGGGACACAGCTCAGCCCAGGGTGAGTGTGCAGAGTGTGGGAGCCAGGGCTGGCACTGCCCAGGATGTGTCCAGAGGGAGCCGTGTCCCTGGGGAATGACAGCCACTGCCTGCTGGTTGTGTTAATGGCTGCAGAGGGACTGGGGACAAGGCCTGCAGGGACAGGACACAGGGAATGGCTCCCAGTGCCAGAGGGCAGCCATGGATGGGATCTTGGCCATGAGGAATTCCTGGCTGGGCTGGAATTGCCAGAGCAGCTGGGGCTGCCCCTGCATCCCTGGCAGTGCCCAAGGCCAGGCTGGACACTGGGGCTGGAGCAGCCTGGCACAGTGGCAGTGTCCCTGCCATGGCAGGGTGGCACTGCAGGGGCTCTGAGGTCCCTTCCCACCCAAACCATTCCAGAATTCCATGAATTCTGTACCTGGTGCTGTGGCCAGAACAGGACTGTGAAGGGTTGTTGGGGAGCTGAGGTGAGATGGTGAAGGGCAGAATTGGAAGTGTTAAGCAAGAGGAAGAGCCATGGAAGAGTCTCCTAGGAGTGGTCTGAACAGTGCTTTGGTTTGGTGTACCTCACAGCTTTTCCAAAATTTCAGGTATTAGGAAAGCAAAGTGGAAAAACATTATCAATAGAACTCACACAGAGAAAAATCAGAATAACAAAAGGGCAAACTAGGGTTGGGATAGGAATGGCTGGAAATGGGGGATTCAAAGTGCAGTGCCCCAAGAACGACCCTGAGGAGCTGGAGTGTCCAGGGAATGGAGCTGGGGAGGGAATGGAGCCCCAGGAGGGCTGAGGGAGCTGGGAAGGGGCTGAGCCTGGAGCAAAGGAGGCTCAGGGGGACCTTGTGGCTCTGCACAAGTCCCTGCCAGGAGGGGACAGCCGGGGGGGTCGGGCTGTGCTCCAGGGAACAGGGACAGGAGGAGAGGGAACGGCCTCAGCCTGGGCCAGGGGAGCTCAGGGGGGATTTTGGGGAAATTCCTTCCCCGGGAGGGTTGGAAAGCACAGGGATGGAGTCCCCATCCCTGGAAGTGTTCAAAAAATGTGTGGCTGTGGCACTTGAGGACACAGGGTGGCAGTGGATGGGGCTGGTGGTGGGACTCAGATCCTGCACAGTAGGTGTGGAGCAGTAACCGGTGCTTTCCTGCCCCCAGCCAGTCGTGTCCCATCACCATGTTCTGGAAGTTTGATTTGAACACAACGTCACACGTGGACAAGCTGCTGGACAAGGAGGATGTGACCCTGGAGGAGCTGATGGACGAGGATGACGTCCTGCAGGAATGCAAGGCCCAGAACCGGCGGCTGCTGGACTTCCTGTGCCAGCAGCACTGCATGGAGCAGCTGGTCACCCTCATCACCCACGAGCCCCCCGTGGACATGGACGAGAAGGTCCGATTCAAGTAGGTATTGGATCCCTGCTCCCCTGGGACATGCCAGCCAGGGATCCCGGGGCTGAATCCCGGGTCCAATCCCAGCGCCAGGGGTGGCACCTCCTGCAGGGAGGGAGGCTTTGAGCGCTGGGGGTGTTCCGGCTTTCGGGGTTTGGAGGGAATTGGTTTGGTTTTGATGGTTTAACGTTGAGTCGGTCTCAAAAAAAATCCTATTTCAAGTAATGTCTCCAAAAAAATGTAGCTCAAGTAATGTCTCAAATAATCGAATTTCAAATAATGTCCAAAAAAAATCCTATCTCAAGTCTGCAAAAAATCTTATCCTGCTGTTCCCTCAAAACCCAAAGACCCCAAATAGGTTTTTATAGGAAAGGGAAGCACAAGAGTTGCAAACCTCTGAACTCAGTGGATTTCCAATCCCACAGAACAAAGTGAGCTGGAAAATGAATAAAATCTGGGATATTTGCAGTGTGCTGCACTTCCAGATCCTGCTGATTTCAGGGAGCACAGCTCTGGGCAGGCCCTGCCTCTGCTCAGACCACACTGAGCTCCTCACAGGGGTTTGCTTCTCACCAAAGTTGTGTTTATGCATTTTTAACCCACTGTATACTCAAAAATATTGACATTTGGGTTTGGGGAGTTTGTTTGCTTTTGTGAAGTTTATATAAAAATAAAAGACCTCTCTGACTATAAATAAATGAAACTGGGCAGGTTTTTCCTGGTGGGAATGGACCAGGGCTGGGGTTGGTGGAAAGCCACAGAAATGCCATGCTCAGGTGTGGTTTTGGGTAAGAGTTGATAATGGTGTGAGGTGGCTGTTCCCAGGTGAGTGAATGCCCAGGAGTACGTGGGGTAATAACTTGGAATGTCCTGTGGCTGCTGTGCAAGGATCCTCCTCTGAAGGGTAAATCTGGGACACACCTGCAGAGCTGCGTCAGCCCTGGGGCCAGCAGCAGAAGGACCTGGAGCAAGCCCAGAGCTGCTCCCAGGCCTGGAGCCCCTCTGCTCTGGAGAGGCTGGGTGAGCTGGGAATGCTCCCCTGGAGAAGGGAAGGCTCCAGGGAGAGGGAATCATTCCAGGCTTTATCCCTGGAACAGTGGGAGAAAGAGGTTCATAAAGTTCAGAGGGGAAATTGCAAAGAGGAAAAGACCCTGGCAAATCCCCATCCAAGCAGAACTTGTGGAATTAAACACCTGAAAGGAGGCTGGAGCAGGAAAGGAGTGTGAACCTTGGATCAGCCAATGAGCTGCTGAGCGCAGGGGTGAGGGAAGCTCAGCTTCCAGGGGTCAGAGGAGGAGTTCGGGTGAGGTGAGGTCCCTGCAGCCTGCAAACCTCCAGGGCTGGGATGTGGTGCCAGAACCAGAATGGTGAGGGGTTGGATCAGACCTGGGGCTGTGAGAGCTGCAGGAGCAGAGCCTGCTTGGACAGGGAGAGCTCCCATTTCTCCCCTGTCCGCAGGATGTGTATCACAGGGAGGTTCCACACACAGATCTTTAGGAATTGTAGATGTTTTGTGCATGGAATGAGTCAGGAAAAGGAGAAAAAAGAGTCCTGGTGTCCCCTCGGGGCTGTAAGGGATGGAAGGGCTGGAAGGTCCCTCTGCAGTGGTGACATCCTCAGCCTCAGCCCCCTGGGCAGCACCAAGCCTGGAGCAGCAGCAGCAGGGCTTGAGGGGCTTTTGGAAACTCCAGGGCTGGAACTGCAGGAGCAGGAGGAGGCTGCTGGGGAAGGGAATGGTGCAGGGAAAGGGTCAAAGCTCCCACCTGGCCTGGAAGTGTTCTAGTGGCTTGTAGGGAATGCAGAGATTGGGAAAGATCCTGGTGTAGAAACCTGGTGTGGTCACAAATCCCTAAAAATCCATTGTGGGAAAAGTGTCTTCATCAGAGGGAATCACTTATGGGATGGGTTGGGTGGGAAGGGACCTCAGAGCCCCTGCAGTGCCACCCTGCCATGGCAGGGACACTCCCACTGTGCCAGGCTGCTCCAGCCCCAGTGTCCAGCCTGGCCTTGGGCACTGCAGGGATGCAGGGGCAGCCCCAGCTGCTCTGGGCACCCTGTGCCAGGGCCTGCCCACCCTCCCAGGCAGGAATTCCTTCCCTTCCCGAGGCCTTTGCGGAGGGCAGATCTGCAGTTCCGTCTCACCTGTGTGTCACTGCAGGTATCCCAACACGGCCTGCGAGCTGCTGACCTCGGACGTGCCGCAGATCAACGACAAACTGGGCGGGGACGAGTCCCTGCTCAACATCCTCTACGACTTCCTGGACCACGAGCCCCCCCTGAACCCCCTCCTCGCCAGCTTCTTCAGCAAGACCATCGGGAACCTCATTGCACGGAAAACAGAACAGGTGGGGATGGGCTCTGTCCCACTCCAGGGAATTCCCCTGCACTGCCTGGGTTGTGTCCTTGCTGTGAGCTCGTGGTATTCCTGGAGTTGGGTTTGAGGTTGGAGGTGAAATGGAATCTCTGGAAAATTCTCGGAATTCCTCAGTGCAGGGACATGCTGGTGTGGACAGACTCTTCCCAGAGTTCTGGGTTGGGATCTGCCACAGCCAGGATATCCCCATGGCACAGCTAAAGCTTCACTTTTCATACCAAGGCATTTTGAGGGTCATCAGAGTCATCCCAATCCATAAACAAGGCCTCAGGCTCATCCTAATGGAAGGGGTGCTGAGGCATGGGCTGAACAGGGATTCAGGATTGCTCACATCCCAATAAATACTGGGGTTGTAAATGCTGCCTGGTAGGGAGCTTGAGAGGAAAGGGGAATTCTCCAGCTTCACTTATTTCCATGGCACGGGGTTTCTCTGTGGCACAGAGGGGAGAAAAGTTGGCTGAAAAGATCTGATTTGGTGTTGCCTTGGAATAAGAATTATTCCCTTGTTCCCTGGAGAGTTCCCAGCCCAAGGTCAGTGGGTGAGACACGAAGGAGAAGCTCCAGGAGTTTTGGGGGAGTTGTGGGGGGTTTGTGAGGGAGCTGTGGGGGAGTTGTGAGGGAGAGTTGTGAGGGAGCTGTGACAGAGTTGTGGTGGATTTGTGGGGGAGTTGTGGTGGATTTGTGGGGGAGCTGCGAGGGAGCTGTGAGGGAGTTGTGTGTCCCGCTGGCAGCTGATGCGGGCTCCTGTTTCCACAGGTGATCTCATTTTTGAGGAAAAAGGACAAGTTCCTAAGCCTGGTGCTAAAGCACATCGACACCTCTGCCATGATGGACCTGCTGCTGCGCCTCATCAGCTGCGTGGAGCCCACGGCGCTGCGCCAGGACGTGCTCAACGTGAGGGCCTTCCCCTCCCAGCCCCTGTCCCTGCCTGCCTCGGGACAGATGGGGTCTGTGGGTGCTTCATCCCAGGAGCAGATCCACCCCTCTGGCAGCTCCTGTTCCCATGGCTGGGGTCGCTCCGGGGGGTCCCTCAGCCCCGTTGTGGCTCCAGGGCAGCAGCCTGGGTCACTCCTGGCAGCAGAGGGGTTCCCACTCATTTTTCCATGGAGCAACCTCTCTTTAGTCCAGCTGGAGAGCTTGGAGAAAGGAAAACTGTTCTTCCCAGTGTTCAGAAATCCAGACATTGATTGGGACAGTAATTAGTGTAATTCCTTACCATGTTCAAGGAATCATAGCATCAAGGAATCCTGCAATGGTTTGGGTTAGAGAGGGCCTCAGAGCCCCTGCAGTGCCACCCTGCCATGGCAGGGACACTGCCACTGTGCCAGGCTGCTCCAGCCCCAGTGTCCAGCCTGGCCTTGGGCACTGCAGGGATGCAGGGGCAGCCCCAGCTGCTCTGGCAATTCCAGCCCAGCCAGGAATTCCTCATGGCCAAGATCCCATCCATGGCTGCCCTCTGGCACTGGGAGCCATGCCCTGTGTCCTGTCCATCCCTTGTCCCCAGTCCCTCTGCAGCTCTCCTGGAGCCCCTGCAGGCCCTGGCAGGGCTCTGAGCTCTGCCTGGATCCTTCTCTTCTCCATGTGAGCACCCTCAGCTTTGCCAGGCTGGGGAGCAGAGGGGCTCCAGACCCATCCCTGGAAATGTTTTTCCTTGTAATGGAAGTTTGCTCATTTCCCAGGCAGCTGAGTTTGGGCATTGTTGGGATGAGTTTGGGGGATGTCACACATCCAGCTGTTTTCCTGGAACAGGAGTGGGATGTGAATGGAAACGGGTGGAGATGAGGGGCTGAGCCTGCACGTGGGGCTGGGAGGGAGGAGTGGAAGGGAGCCTTTGGAGGGGACATTCCTGTTTGCCTGGGCCAGAAAGGGGGAAAGGGATTGGTTTACATGGAGAACAGGAAATTGTGGAGCAAGGTGAAGGTGCAGTGACAGCTGTTCCAACATCTGGCAGGAGTTGCTGGGTGTGAGCAGCAGGAAGAGCAGGAGCTGCTGGGAGAACATGGTGGAACTTCTTCCACTGCTGCTCAGATGAGGCTGTTTGTCCCTGGAGCATTCCATGTTTTCCAGAGGGGCCTGCGTGTTAGTTCCATGGCAGGATGCAAATCCAAATCCATCCCCATCCGTGCTGATGCAAATCTGAATCCATCCCTGTCCCTGCCTCAGGGATGGGATTGGAGAGGGAAGGAAGGGCTTCCCCTTCCTGCAGAGCTTCCCAGAGCCCCTCTTGTTCTGAGTTCTTGGACATCCATCGAGGATTTTCTCTGCTGCTCTTTTCCCTGCAGTGGCTGAATGAAGCCAGGATTATCCAGAGACTCGTGGAGCTGATCCATTCGAGCCAGGATGAGGATGTGAGTGGCACCAGGGCTGGGGATTTGCGGGGCTGGGTCCTGCAGGGTGCAGGACATTTCTGTTTGCTTTGTCTTGGTGACCTGTGGAGGAGCCACCAGGGATGGCCTTGGGATGTCCCATCCTCTGCTCAGCACCAGATGAGGGGGTTTGGAGTGATTTCATCTGCTTTTGACTTATTTTACCCCCAATTTCTTGGTTCTGCTGCCTCAGTTCATCTCAGTCCTACAGACAGTGGGGATTTCCCTTGGGATTAGGGAACCTGCTGTTCCTGGAAGACCCCTTAAAATCAGCCACTTGATGCATTTTCAAATCTTTCTAGCCCTAAGTAGGAATTCAGCTGTAAAATCCAGAAAATGCAGTTCTCTGAGCCCAATTCCCTCAGCTCATCCCAGGCAAACTTCCCTCTATGAGGGGAAAACTGGGAACGTCTCCATGGATTTTTGTTGGAGCAGATGCTGAGGTACAGCAGCTCGAGAGAGGCTTTGCCTGATGGCCAGAACTGGAGGATGAATTCCTCAAACATCTCTGGAAAGCCTTTTAAATCCCAGAAGTTAAATGGTGAAGGGTTTTCTCAAGCAGGAAAGCTGAGCAGTGGGAGGAAGGATGGGATGTTTCTGTTGTGAATGTGCAGATTAGCAGGATTGAGGAGAGAAAAAGGAATCCTCACCCCTGAGCTCCTGAACTGCTCTTGATGGTCACGCTTGGGCCAATCTCCTTTGAGTGCAAAGCCTGTTGATGCTGCTGCTCCAGAAGTGTACAGCCTGAGCAACTCCAGGGGAAGGAGGAATGGGATTGATCCCAGCCAGAGCATTCCCAGCCTAGCTGGGCACTGACGCTGCTCCTGTCCCTGTTTCCAGAGGCAATCCAATGCTTCCCAGACCCTGTGTGACATCATCAGGCTGAGCAGAGACCAGAGCACTCAGCTTCAGGATGTCCCGGAGCCAGATCCACTTCTCACAGCACTGGAATCGTGAGTACTGGGGGCACTGGGCATGCTGGGGGCACTGGGAGCACTGGGAGTGGCTCCTGGATCGCTTTGCAGGGAGCAGACAGAGCAGGGGTGTTCTTTTGGAGCTGGAGCAGCTCTGAATGGCCTCTTCAGTGATCTGGGGGTTGGGGCTCTGTCCAGGGGCAGGAGAGGGGTTCAGGGAGCCCAAAGGTCCCAGCCTGATCCAGGATGAGGCAAAAACCCAAGGAATTCCAGCCTGGGGAAGGGAGGGTTGTGTAGGAACCTCACAGCACCTTCAGGGTCTGAAGGGATCTCAGAGGAAGCCAGAGGGGGATTGTTCATCCAGAACTGGAGTGACAGGACAGGGGGAGTGACATGAAGCTAACAGAGGGCGGGGATGGATGGGATATTGGGAAGGAATTCCTGGCTGGGAGGGTGAGCAGGGGCTGGAATTGCCAGAGCAGCTGGGGCTGCCCCTGCATCCCTGGCAGTGCCCAAGGCCAGGCTGGACACTGGGGCTGGAGCAGCCTGGGACAGTGGGAGTGTCCCTGCCTGTGGCACTGGAGGGGCTCTGAGTTCCCTTCCCACCCAAACCATTCCAGGATTCCCTGATTTCCCAGATAACATGCAGTGTGTACCAGAAGTGTTGATTTTCCCAGTTTTGCTCCATTCCTGCTGTTGTTCCTTTGCTCTTTGCAATGAACATTCAATTATTTATGTCCTGTGTGTTCTGCTTCTTATCCGTGGTTCAGACCTAAAAACCCCAGGAGATTCTCCAGGGGACTGAACTAAAAAGGGCTCTTCTAGGTCTGGAGGCAACATTTTGTCAGGAAAGGGCTGGAAGGAGCCATGGAAGGGACTGGGGCTCCCAATTCCCCTGAGATATTTCTGTCCACCCAAAGCTCTGAATTTAGGTGGCATTGGGGATGTTTTCTCCTGATTCAGGGCTGTCAGTTCCTCCATGAGTGTGGGATAATTCCTGGGACAGGACCTGGTGTGTGCAGGTGGGAATGGCATGTGGCTCGTCCCAGCACTGGGAAGCCACTGGGACCATCCTGGGCTTGCCATGGAGCTCTGTCCTTACCAGGACTACTCTTCTATAAATTTTTCATTTCCCTCACTGCTCTTGCAGGAATGAGGTAGATCCAGCCTTTGTGCCATGGCCTGGCAGGATCCTGTGCTTTTCATGGAACCTGGAAGGGGTTGGGTGGGCAGGGACCTCAGATCCCCTCCAGTGCCACCCCTGCCATGTCCCAGCTGCTCCAGCCCCAGTGTCCAGCCTGGCCTTGGGCACTGCCAGGGATGCAGGGGCAGCCCCAGCTGCTCTGGCAATTCCAGCCCAGCCAGGAATTCCTCATGGCCAAGATCCCATCCATGGCTGCCCTCTGGCAGTGGGAGCCATTCCCTGTGTCCTGTCCATCCCTTGTCCCCAGTCCCTCTGCAGCTCTCCTGGAGCCCCTTTGGGCCCTGGCAGGGGCTCTGAGCTTTCCCTGGATCCTTCCCTTCTCCAGGTGAGCCCCCCAGCTCTCCCAGCCTGGATCCCTGGGAACTGAGGGGCTCCAGCCCCGGAGCAGCTCCGGGGGCTCCTCTGGGCTCTCCAGCAGCTCCAGGTGTTGCTGCTGTTGGGCTCTGGAGCTGGAGGCACTGGAGGTCACATCCCTGACTGGAGCCTGTGGCCTCTCCTCTGTGTCAGTTCTGAGCCCTCAGAACTCTGGAGATGGGATTGCAGCTCGGTCATTCCCCCTGGGAATCCCAACACCTTTAATAAGGGCTGTGATTCCCTGCAGTGGGAGGGGTGATGGCCATGGAAGACAAAGCACTTACAGACTTTTTTGGTAATTTTAAGCTTTGTAGTTTTGGAGAGGGCTGTGGGACCCTGCACTTCCAGGAACCATCTCCAGAATTCCTGCTCAAAATAAAGGAGCATTTTGGGCAAAGGGGTTCTCTTGCTCCTCTTCCCTTTCTGCTGAAGGTCACAAAGCTCATTACCCTTTCTGGCCAATTTTCCCTGCATTATGGTGACCTTTTGGGTCTTGGATAACTTTTATCATCCCTGAGTCAGGAGTGAAAGATCAGCATGAAGGAGGTGGGATCATGGAATGAGCCCTAAATCCAGGTTCAGGAGCTGCTGCCTGGGTGCAATAAAGGGAATTTGGTTCATTACAGAAAATTGCCTCCTTTTCCTGCCTCTGCCTCCCCTGCTCTGCTGACAGAGGGTATTTAGATGCTCCTTATTCAAGTAATCCTCCCTCATGAATTATTCAGCTGTTTTTACATTTTTGTCTCATATTTTATTTATACCCATGGAAAGGAGACTTTTTGGAGCGTTATAAAATAGTCAGGATTGGCCTGTGAACTCCTGGGCTGCTGGGTTTGGTTGGATGTAGAACTGGGGAAGGCAGGGAAGGGGAAGGGACTTCCTGAGGTCTGCATTTTGGGGAGCTGTCCTTAAGGGACAGAGCTGGGATGTGGTGGGGAACAGGAGCCGCAGGAACTGGAGCAACAACTGACAGAACCAGAGAGGGTGGGCAGGCCCTGGCACAGGGTGCCCAGAGCAGCTGGGCCTGCCCCTGGATCCCTGGCAGTGCCCAGGGCCAGGCTGGACACTGGGGCTGGAGCAGCCTGGCACAGTGGGAGGAACAAACATTTGTTCGGTAACTGGCTGAGCTGTTTTCTTTGGAAGTGTTTGAGAGTTTGGAACCCCCAGGAAGCACTTTGGGAATGTGGTTTGCCAGCTCTGCTGGGAGGTTATTTCTGGTCAGCTCCTCCTGAGCTCAGCACAGGTTTGGTTGTGTGAGCAGCACCTGGGAAATGATACCAATATTAACTAATACAGTATAATAAATAATATAAATAATATAATAGAATCAATACCGTGCAGGTATGGGAATGTGTACAGGAGCTGAATATTATTATTTTTCTTCCTCATTTTTGAAGAGAAACCACTGACATGGCCAGTGTGACTGGAGGCTCTTGAACAAAATCTCCACCTCTGGATACTGGGGGCAGTTCTCGGCCCTAGGAGAAGGAAGCTGGAGTGCGGGAAGTGTAGGAGGAGAATGGTTTTAGTGGAATTGCTAGTTAAACACCAAGTTGGGCACTGGTTTAATACCATAAAGTCCCAGAGTCCCAGGATGGACTGGGTTGGGAGGGACCCTTGAGGCCCTGGCATCACTTGGTTGTTCAGCATGGGAAGAGGGATGATGAGTGACTCCGAGTGAATCCCGGTGTTCCCTCAGGGTGGAAGGCCTGATGGACTCGTACACTCAGGGATTCGAGAGGTCTTACACTGTCAACAGCAGCATCCTGCACGGCATCGAGCCCCGGCTCAAGGACTTCCACCAGCTGCTGCTGCGCCCGCCCAAGGTACCGCCGGCCTCCAGACAGCTCCAGCACGGACACGTGGCCAGGGAGGGGAAATCCACACCGAATTCTGCAACTCTGGCATGCAGGAATCTGCAGCAGGAGTCTGAGGGTCGTGTTCAGGGAAATCTTTGGGACTGGGGGATTGAGTGGAGATGGGAAGGGATGGAGAGGAAGAAACTTTGAGTGGATAGTTGGATTTTAATCTTCTGATTTGGAAGTTAAATCTCCCAGTGGCCCCAGAACCGTCCTCTTGGGAAGGTGGTCTAGGTTTCCCTGCTGAGAACATTCCTGAAATGGGTGGGTTCTGTTAAATCTGAGAATTCCAGCTGGGGTTGTTAGGGATCATCCAGTGCTACTCCACGCAGGGCAGGGTGACCTGGAGCAGGTGACACAGGGACATGTCCAGCTGGGATTGGGATGTCTGCAGAGCGGGGCAATCAGGCCCTCCCTGTGCAGGGCTCCGGGGCTGTGCCCCCTCCATGGAAAGTTCTTCCCCGTGGTGAGGTGGAATTCCCATGGTTGGATTTAGGGCCAAGGCCCTGTAGAACCGTGGTGCAGGTGCGCTGTGGGAATGTTGTGCTCCCCTGACTGCCCTCCCTGCTCCCCAGAAACCGGCGATCCTGACCACGCTGGGGGTGCTGGAGGAGCCGCTGGGGAACGCGCGGCTGCACGGCTCGCGGCTGATCGCGGCGCTGCTGCACGCCAACACCCCCAGCATCAACCAGGAGCTCTGCAGGCTCGGCACCATGGACTTGTTACTTGTGAGTGTCCGGGGCACCGGGAGCGGGGCCTGGGATCCCTTCTGCGCAGGGCTTGTGCCAGGGGGCCAGAGGCTGATATTTGCCTTGCCTGCTCCAGCGAGGAGCAGATCCCTGGAGGAGCTTTTGTGATCTGAATCCAACTGCTTGGGGTTTTGGACTGAGCCTCCAATTCCATGTCAGCTCAGTGGAGAAGGTGTGAAATGGTCTGTGCTGTGTGTGTGAGCTCCTGGAATGATGAGAGATGAATTTTCTCCCAGGATCCCTGAGGCTGGAAGAAGCCTCCCAGAACCAGTGGAGCCTTTAGAGAATTAATTCCACCCTTAGCAGTGATTTAGTTCCTGTTTTTCCTAGGCTTCATTGAGCCCCAGGAGAGTTAGGTTGTTTAATTCAGTGTGTCTGTGCTGTGAGTGCTGTCTGTGAGAGGATTCCTAAGTCCTCCATTTATTGGGAATATTCACTGATTTCCCAGCAGACTGAGCACCCTGGGAATGCAGAGCCCATCCTGCACTGAGTGCTGGCATGTAGCAGGAAAACTGTTTGATTGGAATTGCTTGATCAAACAACAGCTTGGGCAACAATTTAATGTCCCAGAGTCCCAGAATCCTGGGATGGGTTGAATTGGGAAGATCCTTAAAGATCCTTGATGTCTTTAAAACCAGGAAAATTTATCCCGAGTAAACACTTCCATCTCTCATTTCTCCTCCAGGATTTATTTTTTAAATACACGTGGAATAACTTTTTGCATTTCCAAGTGGAGCTGTCCATAGCAGCCATCCTGTCCCACTCGGTGCACGAGGGGAAGCCCAGCCCGGGGGAGCCGGGCAGCAAAGAGGAGGCTCCGAGCGGGAGCGCGGCCCCGGAGCCCGCGGAGCCCGCGGAGCCCGCGGAGCCTGCGGAGCCCCCGGCCGGAGCCACCGAGAACGTCATGGTCACCCACGTGAGAGCTGGGCTGGGGCCGGGGCCACAGGGTCACTGGGGTGGGCTGGGGTCACCAGGGTCACTGGGGTGGGGCCAGGGTCACAGGGTCACTGGGGTGGGACTGGGGTCACTGGGGTGGGGCTGGGGTCACCAGAGTCCCTGGGATGGACTGGGGTCACCAGGAGATCTCTGGGGTGGGCTGTTCCAGAGCAGGCATTTGTCTCAAATGTAGACTTATTATTTATTTTTGTATGTAATTTTTAGTGGGTTTTGTTATAATTTATCGCCTTTTAAAATTGTTTTTATTATTTATTATCAAATTTTAGTGGGCTTTATTGTTATCTATTTTTAGTGGGCTTTATTATTATTCATTATCATTTGTAGTGGTTCTCACGGAGCTGTGGTTGCTTTTGTGCCTTTATTTGCAGCATCCCATTAAAAGTCCCCTCATTTAATGACCCTGTGAATCCCTTGGTATTTATTAAAATCATCCCTATTTATTATTAAAATTATCCCCATTTATTATTAAAATTCCGTTTTTTAAAGTAAAAATTACTACAAATTTTGGACAAACAACTAAGCAAGACCATTCCAGCTGTTAGTGGCCAGGCCTCAGTGTGGTGGTTGGAAAATGCCAGCAGTGCTTTAATTCCTGCTGCTGGGAGGCTCAGGAGCAGCCTGGGGATGCTCCAGGTGTTCTCTGGGATCCTCTGGGAGATAACCAGGAAGGGGCTGGGCTCTTGGGCAGGGGGAGGGCTGAGGTCTGAGCTCCCGAGGAGCAGGAGGACCCACAGTTCTCCTCTGGGAAATCCTGAATATCCTCCCTCTGTCCCCGCAGCTGTTCCAGAAGTGCTGCCTGGTGCAGAGGATACTGGACGCCTGGGAAGCCAATGACAAAATCCAGTAAGGAACTGCTGGCCCGGGGCTGCACATTGACTTTGGAATACTCTTGGAGAATTTCCGTTTTAATGGTGTCCAAACACACTTGGGTTTTGGTTGGGATTTGGAACTGGGGTGGTTTGCATGCTGACAAGCCACACTGCCAAGCAGACAGGATTTGAAGGCGTGATGGGTTTTATGGGTGTTCCCAACACCCCATCCCAAACACTCACTGCTTTCCTGCTGTCTCAGGGAATCCCATGGAATACTCACTTTTTAAATTTTTTGTTTGTTTGTTTTAAATGTACAGTTTTATTCTTCCCAGAGTAGAAAACTGTTGGAAGTCGGGGTGGCCAAGCATTTGTGGCCTGGATTTCCTATTTTAGCTTTATAAACCCCTTGGATTTTGTGCTGATTGGGCTGATAAGAACTAAATATTCTAAAAGAACTAAAACATTAAAGTGGAAATATTCCAGAGGCTTCAGTTTCTGTGTCCAGCTCAGTGTTTGGTCCTCCCTCTCTATTTTGAGCTCCTGGTGGCTTCCAAGGGCTTTGGAGTCTCACTGGAATTGTTTAGGTCATAATTGGTGGATAGAGATCTGGATTACATTTTTTTTTTGTTGGTGTGGTTTGGGTTTTTGGGTTTTTGGTTCTTTTCACAGCCCCTTGTCCACACAAGGAATTTTGCTGGGCATTTCCTTGCCCAGTTCTGTAGGACCAAAAATATCCCTGGGTGCTGCTTGGGAGTTTTCCTGATTAAACCAGAAAGGAGCCAGAGCTCATCCCTGTTTCCTGCCAGAGTTCCAGTCACCACCACACTGGAAAGAATCTGAATGGAAGGAAAAAAAATAGAGATTTAAGCAGGGGAGTCTCAGCTGGGGCTTTGGGAAGGTGGAGTTTCCAGGAAGGTCCTTGGCCACTCTCAGTGGGCAGATGGAGGCCAGCAGGGACTGCCCCTGCATCCCTGGCAGTGCCCAAGGCCAGGCTGGACACTGGGGCTGGAGCAGCCTGGCACAGTGGCAGTGTCCCTGCCATGGCAGGGTGGCACTGCAGGGGCTCTGGGGTCCCTTCCCACCCAGACTGGTCCCTGAGCTGGTTTGGAGCACGGCTTCACTCTGCAGGAAGGGAAGCAGTGGGGAGCCAGAGAAGGGACTCGGGGCTGCTCAGGCTCGGTGCTGGGAACTGGTTTTATCCCAGGGGGAATCCCATGGTTGGATGGGAATGTCTTCTGTTCACTGGGAGTCACTCTGAATCCCAGTCCCACCCTGGAGCTCTGCCAGTAGCTGTGCTGTAGGTCCTTGACTTGGAGAGTTTTCATCCCTGGGAATTACAATCAGATTTATTCCTGCATCTTTTCCATGCTTAGCTCCTTGTTTGGAGCCCCTCCCATGTTACCTGAGCAGGAGGAGGGGTCAGGAGGGAACAGGGCAAAATGAGGGAAGGTCCCTGTGCTGGGGGTGAGCTCAACCCATCTTGCCAGAGCAGGGCTGAGTGCTGTAACCACTGGGGCAGGAATGCTATGGCCATTGGGGCTGGAATACTGTGACCATTGGGGCAGGAATGCTGTGGCCATTGGGGCAGGAATGCCAGGGCCATTGCAGCTGGAATGCTGTGGCCATTGGGGCAGGAATGCTGTGGTCAGTGGGGCAGGAATGCTGTGGCCTTTCCCAGGGCTCTGTCCTGACTCCATCGTTATCCTGTCTCCGTGGGTATCCCGTCCCAAGTCTGTGGGTGTTCTGGCTCCATGGCTATCCCATCCCAGCTCTGTGGTTAATCTGGTTCCCTGGGTGGTCAGTGGGGCAGGAATGCTGTGGCCATTGGGGCTGGAATTCTGTGGTCAGTGGGGCAGGAATGCTGGGGCCTTTCCCAGGGCTCTGTCCTGGCTCCATGGTTATCCTGTCTCCGTGGGCATCCCGTCCCAAGTCTGTGGGTGTTCCGGCTCCATGGCTATCCCATCCCAGCTCTGTGGTTATCCCGGCTCCGTGGGTATCCCGGTTCCCTGGGTATCCTGGTTCCCTGGGTATCCTGGATCCCTGGGTATCCTGGATCCCTGGGCATCCCAGTTCCAGCAGAGGGCGGCAGGAGGAGAGGGAACATGGGGCACCTGACCCGCATCGCCAACGCCGTGGTGCACAACATGGAGAAGGGCCCCATGCAGGCCCAGATCAGTGACTTCATCAAAGGTACCGCCTGCTCCTCCTCCTCAGCCTCCTCCTCCTCCTCCTCCTCCTCCTCCTCCTCCTCCTCAGCCTCCTCCTTCTCCTTCTCCTTCTCCTTCTCCTTCTCCTTCTCCTTCTCCTTCTCCTTCTCCTTCTCCTTCTCCTTCTCCTTCTCCTTCTCCTTCTCCTTCTCCTTCTCCTTCTCCTTCTCCTTCTCCTTCTCCTTCTCCTTCTCCTTCTCCTTCTCCTCCTCCTTCTCCAGCTCCCCCTCACTGCTCTCCAGGGAATAATAACCCTTGGGAGCTCCTGGGAGGACTCACTGCAGGTATTTGCTCAAGGTCCTTTCCCATTGGAAAGGGTTCCCAGGGAAATCCCACAGTATCCCATCATTTAAAGTATGGTGAGGCCCCGTTTGGCTGCTCTTGGTTTTCACACAGTGAGGTTAAGATTGGACTGTGGAAGGTGTCCCTGCCATGGTAGGGTGGCACTGGATGGGCTTTGAGATCCCATCCCTCCCAACTCATTCCATGATTTCATGACTCTCTGAGGAAAGAGACACAAGGTTAAGTGTCCCCAGAGGCCCCAGATGTGCTCATCAGGGATATTCCCACTGCCAGGCTGTGTCCATCCTGCCCTCACTGGATCCACTTGGAGAACTGGTTTTGTCCCATGGGTATAGCTGGGAGGAAGGAAGATTTTCCGTTTTCCACATTTTCTATTCCTACTGCTCAGCCCCTGCCAGGCTGGGAGGGAGCACAGCTGGGCAGGGACAATCTGTGGGCACAATATTCTGCTCTGTCTGCTTTTATTATTTCTCCATTTCCCTGCCTCAGCCCTCAGGTTCTGCTCACCTTTGGGCTCCCAAATGTGCTGGGATGGGAGGGATGAGAGGGAAGGGCCCCCCCAGTCCCCAGGAGAAAAGGGAAGGCCCAAGCACAGCTGGAGCCCTGCTCGGGGCTGTTCCCAGCAGGGTGAGAGAAGCTGTGAGTCCCCAGGGAGTTCAGCTGGCTCACAACTCCCGTGGTTCCTGTGTCCCTCTCATTCCAGAGCTGCCTGAGGACTGCAGGGGCAGGTGGGAGAGTTTCGTGGAGGAGACGCTGACGGAGACGAACCGGAGAAACACGGTGGATTTGGTGAGTTGGTCACTCCAGTGCCTGCTGGGCTTCCCCTAACAGAAGAAAGGGATATTCCTGGTTTTTCTCATTTTCCTTCTTTTGCTGAAGAACGCTTCAAGGCAGAGTAGAAAGCATTTCCATAAACATGTTTCATAACAGTCCTTCAGCAGAGCTGATCCGTGGTGCTGAGCTGGTCCCTGGGATTCCTTGGGGCAGCTCTTGCCTGGGCAGGAGTTTGGGCTTGGTGGAACTGAAACATTGGAGCTTTTCCAGCTTTCCCTGGTTCCCTGACTGGTTTGTGCTTTCCCAGGTGAGCACCCACCACCTGCACTCCTCCAGCGAGGATGAGGACATTGAAAGTGCTTTTCCCAACGAGCTCACTCTCCAGCAGGTGAGTTGGGAACATCTTCACTATTCCTGGGAAACTCGCTGCTCTGGTTGCCTTTGGTGCATCCTGGTGTGGAGCAGCTTCCTGAACTCTGCTTCCAGTCTGTGTTCAGCTCCTCTGGGCTTTCCCAGAGCAGTTGCATGGCCTGGGATCCACCTGGGAGCAGGGCAGGAGGCATCAGGATGGGAATCCAGAGCTCTGTGTGACCCTGCTCTGGGAAAGGGTCGGAGTGAGAATTTCACACTCTTCCCTGGGATTTTAGTGCTTTTCTGGAGGAGCTGTTTCCATGCAGCTCCACTGTTTCTGGCATGTCTCTGGACACCCTACTGATGGATTTTTTGGGATCCCTTGCCAGGCCTTCTCCGAGTACCAGATCCAGCAGATGACAGCCAATTTCGTGGATCAGTTTGGCTTCAACGACGAGGAGTTTGCAGACCAGGATGACAACATCAAGTGAGTCTGGGGGTGTTTGGTGATGGCACCGAGTGAGTCTGGGGGTGATTGGCATTTCAGCCTCTTTGCATCCCATCCTCCCTCTGCTTCAGGTTTACAAATGAGCCTTGTTATCCCTCCTCAGGTTGTAAACAGCTCCTTGTTTTCCAGGAGCCCAGCCCGATCTCCAGAACCAGGTGGAGAAGCAAGGAAAAGTATTCCTTCATTTCAAAGAGGGATATTTGAAATAAAGCAGGCAACTGTTGTCCAGCCCTGGTCTGGAATGAGTTTAAAGGCAAAGCATGAGAGCAAACTCCGGGCAGTTAAACAGATCTTTTCCAAGGAATTAAATCCTTATGGGAAGGGGGAGTGAAGGGACAGCTCTGATGGAATCCATGGAAAATGCAGCCATTTTCCCTCTCCTGAGGAAGGGAGCAGGGATAATCAGGAGCAGTGGCAGTTCAGGGAGACAGGGAAGGGGATTCAGTGTTACACAACTTGCTGAATCCAGAGCTCAGAATTGGCTGCTTTTACAGAATTCCTTTAATCCCATTAAAGCTGCAGCTCATCCTCTCTCCTTAGAAATGTACCTGGCACTGGGATTATCCCAGTGGCCATAACAGTCCTGAAACTGGGACCAGTTATGGACAGAGCAGTGCTCCAGGGGATCCCAGTGCTCCTGGGTTTGTCTCCATCCAGAAATTCCTTGGGATCTAAGGCAGCACCCCTGCCCTTCCCATCCAGGGTTTTTCCTGAGCCTTAGAGATGTCAGAAACTTGATAAGGCCAAAAAGTTCCAGAATAGAATCAGAGCTGAATTGAACAGAAATTATTCAGTTCTACACATAAAGATTTTTATAAAATAAAATAAAAAATAAAATAAAATAAAATAAAATAAAATAATAAAATAGGCTTCTCACTGCATAAAATAAAATAAAATAATAAAATAGGCTTCTCACTGTTGGCAAATACAGCCCCATGTGAGTGAGGGGCAGGGAGGAGTTAAATCCCTGAGGAGCTGCCCCAGGGGCCTTGTGCCCGTGTAAAACGAACACGAAGCTGGAAAAAGTCTGTGCTTGGGATGCTATGGCTCTTGTTTGTGATTGGAAAAGGAGAATGTCCTGCAAAACCTGGAATATTCTGGGAGTGGTGCTCCCTGCCAGCTGTTTCCAGCTGTTGGACACTGGGCTGGAAGTGATTTGGAATATTTAAGGAGTATCAGTCATGTGTCAGTGTCCCTGGGATTGCAGGAGTGTTGAACTGGAGAGTCTTTCAAAGAAAATGACACTGGAAAAGCTGCAGATGCATGAGTAGGGAGAGTGAGCTCTTCCTGGATCCAAGCTCTGGGAATTGGGAATTTCTGGGCCTGCAGCACCCTCTGCTGTTCCCACCAGGGGCTCCCCTGGCTTGGACTGGGAATTGGGTCATCCCGGGATATTCATATCCTGGGATATTCACAGAACAGCCACCCCTCAGGCTTTGAGCCACTCCTGCACTGAGATTCACAGAATCCCAGAATCCCTGAGGTTGGAGAAGCCCTCCCAGCCCATCCAGTGCCCACTGCCCACCTGTCCCCAGCCCAGAGCCCTGAGTGCCACCTCCAGGAATTCCTTGGACACCTCCAGGGATGGGCACTGCAAAGCTCCCTGGGCAGCCCCTGCCAAGGCCTGACCCCCCTTTCCATGGGGAAATTCCTGCTGATTCCACCCTGAGCTCCCCTGGCCCAGCCTGAGGCCGTTCCCTCTGCTCCTGTCCCTGTTCCCTGGAGCACAGCCCGACCCCCCGGCTGTCCTCCAGGAAGCCCCTCCAGAGCCCCCCTGCCACGGGCTGGGAATGTTCTGGGCTGGAATAACCCCTCCCTCGGTGAGGGCACACTGTGGGCAGGAGTGGCTGTGCAGGGGTCCCAGCCCGGGGGTGGCTCTGGCTCTGCTGCTGTCCCCCTGGAAGCTTGGGCCACCCCTGAGGCTCTTCCCTCCCTCCTCCCTCCCAGCGCTCCCTTTGACCGCATCGCCGAGATCAACTTCAACATCGACGCTGACGACGACAGCGTGAGTGGGGATCCGGGCTGGGGCTGGAGTGAATGTGGCTCTGGAAAGGTGCTGCTTGCCTTCTGAGAGAGCAGAGGTTTGGGGGGGTTTGGGCAGTGCAGAGGGGCTGAGAGCCGGGGCACTGCTCGGCCCCTCAGGAGCTCCTCCCAGGAAATGTTCCCTCTGAGGCAGCACCCCCGGCACCGAGGGAATCTTCCTCCCTCCCTGCAGTGCCAGTCTGTTCTTAGAATCAGGGAATCCTGGGATGGGTTGGGTGGGAAGGGACCTCAGAGCCCCTCAGTGCCACCCTGCCATGGCAGGGACACTGCCACTGTGCCAGGCTGTCCCATCCATGGCTGCCCTCTGGCAGTGGGAGCCATTCCCTGTGTCCTGTCCATCCCTTGTTCCCAGTCCCTCTGCAGCTCTCCTGGAGCCCCTTCAGGCCCTGCCAGGGGCTCTGAGATACCCCTGTATTCCTCTCCTGTCCAGGTGAGCACCCCCAGCTCTCACAGCTTTAGATCGTATTTCCAGACACAGATTAGGGAAGCATAGGCAGAGATGGATTTCTCATGGATCCAAACATTGCCAGGCTGTTCCTGGCCTTTCCTGGCTTATTGCCCCAAAGCAAAGCAGCAGCTGGACTGTGGTGATCCCAGGTGGTCCCAGGTGATCCCAGCTCCTGAGCAAAGCTGGATGTGGTCAGCCCTGAGACTTGGGCTTAAAGCAGTGTCTCCAGAGCACCTCTGGAGTGTGATTTCCCTGTGGTCCTGCAGCCCAACGCCTCCCTGTTCGAGGCCTGCTGCAACGAGCGCATCCAGCAGTTCGACGACAACGAGGAGGAGGAGGATATCTGGGAGGAGAAGGACATCTCCTACGCAACCCAGGTCAAGTCCAGGACACGGTAAGGTGAAAGCAGAACCCCGATATTCCCCCTGCTGCTGGGAATCTGCACGTTTCCATCCAGCCCAGGAGGAATTCCTTGGGTTTTGTGTCATTTTGGAGCTGTGAGGTTTTATCTGACACAACCCCGAGCACTTTCCCTGCCTCTTGTGCTGGGGGTTCTCCTGAACTGGAGACAGATCCAGTTCAAGGGAATTAACAATGGGATTTAAACCTAATTAATGAGTCTTTCATCAAACACATTAAAAACCCTCTCCCTTAGTGTGAAACACTTGGAATTTGCTCCTTCTCTCATCCTTGGAGAGGAGGAGGAGGAGGAGGAGGAGGTGAGACTGAGGGGAGTGGGCAGAACATTCTTTCTCAGAACATTCAAATCAGAAAAGTGAGAACAAGAGGCCTCCCAGGGGCATCTCAGGCTTTGAAATGATTTTTCATCCCTTTGACAGAGCCACTCATTAAAATAAAGTTATTTCCATAATTCCCAATCTGCAGTGTGATCAAAGGAAACAGGGAAAACGTCCAAGACTTCATTGTGTCCTTGCCAAGCATCAAAAGCCCCAGGTCCTGCCTGGGCACAGGGTGGGCTCCACACCAGTGTCCGTCCCCTCTCTGAGCACTGGTTTGTGTGGTGTCCCCAGCCCTGGCTCTGTCCTGCAGCTCCAGGGAATGCTGCCACCAAAGCCCTCGAGAATCTGGGGGAATCACCCTGAGCACCCACAATTTCCCTGAGCAGCTGGGGGAAATATTTTGGGGGAAACAACCCTGGCAAAGGCTCTGGGCTGTTTCCCCAGGGACAGGGAGGAGGAGCTGAGGGATCCAGGTGTGGCTCATTCCCAGTTCCCGTTCAGGTTTGGAGCATCACAGACGTCAGAGAGCTCCAAGAGTGACCTGGAGAACGGGGACCACGACGGCAGCGTGGACTCGGAGGAGGAGGAGGAGCGGCCACCGCCCTCCCCACACAAGGGCAGCACCCCGGAGCAGAAGGACTCGGACTCCTGCCAAGGTTGGGAGCGCATCCCTGCGTCTGCAGGGATCACAGCAGCACTCACACACTGCCAGCTCCCCTGGAGAGGCCCCAGTTCCTCCTGGCCAGGGGAAACGGGAATGCCAGGGCTCGCTTTGTGCCTCTGGAGCCTCTGGAGCTGCAGCCCTGCCCAGAACAGCCCTTGTGTCAGGCAGCCCCACAGGGAGAATCCCAGGGAAAGGGTCCCTGCCCATGGCAGGGCTTGGAATGAGAGGAGCTGTAAGGTCCCCTCACACCCCAGCCTTTCCATGGTGGCTCCCTGAATCCCAGCTCCTTCAGTGCAAATCCAATCAAAGCAGCAGTGCAGGGATGTGACCTGAGCTCCCCCATCCCAGGACAGGAGTTGTGTGCCCACCTTTGCCAGCTGTCTCCACACCCTCATCCCTGCCTGTTCTCCTGCTTTTCCAGCTGTGTTCTGCCTGTGGCAAACCCATCCCTACACTGACTGGAGCAGGAGTGCAGAGGGACAGGCTTTTCCTGGAATCCCAGGAATGGGTTTGGGTGGGAAGGGACCTCAGAGCCCCTCAGTGCCACCCTGCCATGGCAGGGACACTCCCACTGTGCCAGGCTGCTCCAGCCCCAGTGTCCAGCCTGGCCTTGGGCACTGCAGGGATGCAGGGGCAGCCCCAGCTGCTCTGGCAATTCCAGCCCAGCCAGGAATTCCTCATGGCCAAGATCCCATCGAAACCTGGGGCTGGAAGCCATTCCCTGCATCTTGTCCCTCCAGGCCCCTGTAAGTTGTCTTTTTCCATCTTGTCTGCTCCCTTCAGGGATTTTCCCAACTCTCTGTGTAAATGACACCATGGGAATGCTGGACACACATGGTGCTGTCAGCAGAACAGTTCCAAGGGACAAAAAATGTTTCCAACCTTCTATTTTTCCACGCTTTTTGAGTTTTATACCATTTTTTTTTCTCTGAGTGCTGCCTTTGTGTTGTCACTGTGAGCACCAGGCAGGGTTATCCCAGGATCCTGCTCTCTGCACCACTTGGGAAGTGTCAGATAATTCCAGTCCATTGGGAAGAACCTCCCAGTTCCAGTGGGCCCTGTGTGGCAGCCCAGTCACCCTCTGGAGACTCAGCTGGAATTTGGGATCAGTTTTGGGGATGCAGCCCTGAGGGGGCTCTTTTGCCTCGTTCTGTTCCTGCAGAGCTCTGCAATCCTCCCTCTTCCCTGGGAAAAGCTAAGGAAAAATGCTGTTCCAAAAGTGGGATTTGTAGGACTGGAAGTAGGAAATGGGACTAGAAATGGAAGTAAATTCTGGAGGACGAATTGTCCAGGACTGTGAAAAAACCAGTGGGTGATTTTTAGGATCTTAAATACTGGAATCCATTGATCAGCTCTTTACCTGAAACCCAACCACTGGAGATGGAGATGGGAGCTTTTGGCAGGGAACTGAGGGACTTGGAGCTGGGAATCACTGGCTTGGGGGAGGAAGCCACCCACGGTGTCATTTGTCTCCGTGGATGCATCTCCTGGGGAAGAACATCTCCAGGGGGATTTCTGTGGGACACGGGCGGGTGTGGAAGGGGGCCCTGGGATGGGTTGCTGTGTGTCTGGGGTCCCTGGGACATCCCTGGCATGTCCCTGGGATGTCCCTGGGATCCCAGGGCTGTTCTTGGGATGGGTTGCTGTTTCCCTGGCATGTCCATGGAATGTCCCTGGCATCCCTGGGACGTCTCTGGGCTGGGTTGCTATGTCCCTGGGATGTCCCTGGGATCCCATGGGTGTTCCTGGGCTGGGTTGCTGTGTCCATGGGATCCCAGGGGTGTTCCTGGGCCGGGTTGTTGTGTCCATGGGATCCCTGGGATGTCCCTGGGATGTTCCTGGGCCGGGTTGTTGTGTCCATGGGATCCCAGGTATGTCCCTGGGATGTGTCTGGGCTGCCATGGGATCCCTGGAATGTCCCTGGGATGTTCCTGGGCCGGGTTGTTGTGTCCATGGGATCCCAGGGATGTCCCTGGGATGTCTCTGGGCTGGGTTGCTGTGTCCATGGGATCCCTGGAATGTCCCTGGGATGTTCCTGGGCCGGGTTGTTGTGTCCATGGGATCCCAGGGATGTCCCAGGGGTGTCCCTGGGCTGGGTTGGTGTGTCCATGGGATCCCTGGGGTGTCCCCGGGGTGGGGTTGCTGTGTCCATGGGATCCCTTGGGTGTCCCAGGGGAGTCCCTGGGCCGGGTTGCTGTGTCCATGGGATCCCTTGGGTGTCCCAGGGGTGTCCCTGGGCCGGGTTGCTGTGTCCATGGGATCCCAGCGGTGTCCCTGGGGTGTCCCTGGGCCGGGTTGCTGTGTCCATGGGATCCCTGGAATGTTCCTGGGATGTCCCTGGGCCGGGTTGCTGTGTCCATGGGATCCCTGGGGTGTCCCTGGGATGTCCCTGGGCCGGGTTGCTGTGTCCATGGGATCCCAGGGGTGTCCCTGGGGTGTCCCTGGGGCATCCCTGGGCCGGGTTGCTGTGTCCCTGGTCTGTCCCTGGGGTGCTCCTGGCCGGCTGGCGCTGGGCTGGCACCCAGGCTGTGGTGTCCCCAGGGGCTGGCTGGACGGCCGTGTTCGAGCCCGCGGGCCCCACGCCGCCCGTGGCCATGGACGTGGGCTCCAGCGTGTGGGACTCGGCCGCCCCGCAGAGCAGCGCCCCGGAGGAGAAGGGCTGGGCCAAGTTCACAGACTTCCAGCCTTTCTGCTGGTAAGAGCCATGGAATTCCAGCTCCCCTGGGGCTTGGCAACCGGGGAATATTTGGGATATGTTTTGATAAGAGTGCCTGGCTGTAATCCTTTCTTCTTCCCCTTCCCTTCCCATGTCTTCCCTTTTGTTGTTTAATACTGTCTGATGATCCTGGGTCAGGGCTCCTTTGTGCTTCCTGCTGCTTCCCAGTGCTCCTGACTGGGGTGGGACACAGAAAACCAGGAAATAAGGTTTAGATAAATTCAGAACAGTGATGGGAAGGAAGAGCAGGGCTGGTGACTGCTCCTGGGGCTGCTGGGAAGCTCTGGGATGATCCTGGCTCCCTGCTCAGGGCTCTTCCCTCCCCAGCTCCGAGACCAACCCTCGCTGCAGCTCCCCCGTGGGCACCGAGAGCAGCGGCACCGACGGGACCCCGGCGCAGGGCCAGGACAAGAACTGTGAGTGACACGGGGCCACACGGCGTGCTCTCAGCCCCTGGGAGCTCTGCATGGAGCACCTGGGGCGGGAGAAACCTCCCTGCAGGGCCCCAGCCCTCAGCATTCCCTGCGGGATCAGTGAGCGGAACGAAGGCAGAGATCCCCAGGGTTTGTTGGGACAATGTCAGCAGGGAAGGGATGGAGCTGCAGTGGGTTGGAGCTGATACCACAGGGACACTTCATTTATCCCTGGAAGTGTCCCAGGCCAGGCTGGATGGGGCTGGGAGCACTCTGGGACAGTGGCAGGTGTCCCTGCCCATGGTGGCACTGGGTGGGCTTTGAGATCCTTCCCACCCAACCCATCCCATGATCCCCAGACCATCTGCAGTGGCTGCAGGCCCTGTTTGACCCCTCAGGCTGTTCCAGGGAGCTTTCCTGAGGTTCCAGTGTGGGCTGTTCCTCCCCCAGCCAGCACTGCTGCCTCTCCCTGTGTGTGGAACGCGTGTGGGACACGGAAGGCGCCGCTGGTGGCCTTGGACAGCAGCTCCTCGGGCAGCTCCGAGAGCGACGACGACGACGACGACAAGGCCAAGGCTGGCACGGAATCCACGGCCACGGCGCAGGAGCCCAGCAAGGACAGGGCAGCTCCCTCCAGGTGGGAAGGGATCTCCGTGGGCTGGGATGGCCCCTGGGATGGCCCCGCGTGGTTCCAGTGTCCCCTCCCTGTGGGCTCCGTGTCCCGGTGTCCCCTGGGAGCAGGTCCTGCCCCTGGCGTGGCACGGGGGGGACTGAGGGACATTTAGCACAGGGTTATTCCAGGGAAGGGTTGGGGCTCCTTTGGGCCACTCCAGTGTCACAAGAGCATCTCTGTCCATGATCTGGGATTGGACTCAGGGCAGGATCCAGATGGGATCACTCAGAAAATCAGAGTAAAGGCTCCTGCAGCCATGGGGGAAAGGTTTAACCCACTCAGGTTCTCGTTTTCCCCAAAGGCATTCAATGATAAAAGCACCAGGAAAGGCTGGAGGAGATCCAGGGACTGGGCAGGTTTGTAGGAATTGGATCCTCAATCCAGCCTGCTCCAGTCATGGGGCATGAGCTGCTACCCAGCCCAGTCAGCATCTGCTGCATCCACAGAGATTTTACCCAGTTCTAAGATTCTGAGGTTTTTCCTCATACTCTGCCATGGATTTCCTTGTGTTTTTCACCTGAGTCCCTGGGTTTGTGCACCTGACTCAGGATCAGGAGTTTCCTTCAACAATGCTTGGTGACAGTTTGGGGTCATCCCTGGGTGTGCTCAGCCAGCAGCAGCTCCTGGGGGCCCGGGGGGCTGGGAAACCACTGGGATTGCAGAATTCCCTGGAATTAGGGCAGGAGTTATCCCAGGGTCTGTTAGGTCGAGAGCAGCTCATTCTGAGAAATGCATTAATTCTGATAATTGCATTAATTACATTACGTAGTACATTTGATTTTGATAAGTGCATTAATTCTGATAAATGCAGTTAATTTGGATAAATGCATTCACTTTGGTAAACACAGTTAATTTTGATATATTTCAGTTTGATAAATGCATTCGTTCTGATAAATGCGTTAATTCTGATAAATGCTCTCTCTGTGCTTGGGAATGGCCTGGCTGTGGCTTGGTGGGAAGCAGAGGGTGAGGGAAGGCACAGCAGTTCCATCTGTGCTGAAAGCAGCCTCTCCTTCTCCTGGGTTGTGTGGAGTTGGGTCCATTGGATCTGATCCAAGCTGTGCTCCAGGTGCTTTTCCTCCCCTGGACCATGGTGTGGGCACAGCAGGACCTTGCCTGGGGTTCCCAGGAGGATCAGGGAATGTGCTGAGCAGGACTCACTGGGTCGTTGGTCCAACTGCCCAGGAAAGCCCAACAATCCCAGAGCTGTCCAGACATTCCTGGGGCTCTGGAGCCGTGCCCATTCCCTGGGGAGCTGTTCCAGTGCCAGCACCCTCTGGAGGAAGAGCCTTTCCTGATCCCCACCTAACCCTCCCCAGCCCAGCTCCAGCTGTTCCTGTTCCTGTGTCCATCCTCTTGGAGATGTTCTCACCTCTTCCCTGCTTTCCTGGCAGGAGGGAAGTGTTTGTTCCTGGTTTGGCACATTGGGAATGTTTTCCTCTCCAGACAAGTGTCTGTACCACATTCCAGAGGGATAGAGCTTCCTGAACCTGCCTGCCTTTGCCTGCCTGCCCTTCTCCAGAGCTGATTCCCTTGTGGCAAAGAGCACCCATGGCCTCCCCTGGCAGGTGTCTGTGGCTCTCCACAGCTGTGTCCTTGGCCAGAGATCCCAGGGGAAGCTGTGGGGGGACAGGGGCCGTGCCACAGCTGGGACTGGAGCTGCTCCAGGCCTGGGCTCCCAGTGGGAATCACCACCCAGAGCGTTCCCAGTGGCCTCAGCTCTCCCAGACCCCTCAGCCTGCACTGGGAATATCCATTTGTTACCACCTTCCTTAGTGATTCCAGGGAAATCAGGAACACTTTGGAGTCACTGGGTGGGTTGTGACTCTCCAAGCACTTCCCCAAAACCTGCACCAAACCCCATTCCTGTTGCATAGGGACAGTTTTTCCATCCCCTTGTGCCCCTGGAATAAATGGAATCCACACAGGGATCTCTGATTCTCCTTGGAGCTCTCAGAGACTCAGGGTTTTCCTTCCCCTTGTCCCTGGAATCCAGTTGGAGGTCTTTTATCCTTGGAGCTGCCCAAGGCCTCTGTGGATTCTGTGGAAAACCAGATGTTGCAGCCCAGTAAATCCTCCAGATGTTCCACCCTCTGTGAGCCCCATCCCAGCTGCCCACGGCATCCTTACGGAGATGCAGCTCAGGAATTGCTCTCAGTTTCCCAGTTTGGATCCCACTGCCCGGGGAGGTTTGGGGTCCCACCCCTGGAGTGTCCAGGGGACAACAGGACATGCCACACAAAGTCCTTGTTTGGGCTGTGTCACTCCTGGGTCTAGCCCTGTGTGTCCAGCTGGAATTTTCCAGGAGTCCAGGGAAGGCAGAGAAATTCCCAAGCCCCCGTGGGTGCTCAGGTACCTCTGGAATCCTCCTGCCCTGGAAACTCCAGGGATTGGGCTTCAGAAGTTTCTCTTAGAACCATGGAAATGTCGAGCTCCAGTTTTTTTGTGTGGGAAGTGTTTTTTTCCAGCGACGTTCCTGGGAACGCGGCTCCATCCCTGTGTCTCTCCAAGGTGTATTTTGGTACTTCTGAGGAGCTTGTGAGCCCTGGAGGAAAGGGAGTGTTTGGATCTCATTATTCCTCATTTTCATGGTTTTTTTTCAAGAGAAGTGCTCCAGAAATAGAACCTCAGTCTCCAATCTCCATCACATGTCCAATTATCCAGCTGGGATTATTTTATTCCATAAACTCCCCCGGAGCCTGTGACAGGATTCCAGCTCAGCCATCTCCAGCTTTCCTCCCTTTTGTGGAGGTTTGCTCTGGGAGAGAGGGAGAAAGAATTGTTCTGGATGGAAACTGGGAAGAAAGTCATTCTTGGGGCATCTCATCCTCTGCCTTGGAAGCCAAAAAATGGGATGTGCACAGAAATCCCTCCTCCTGGGTGGGTTTATTCCAAACAAGAGATTGGGAGGGTTTGTTCCTGCAGTTCTCCTTTCCCAGGATTTGAGTTTTGGTTGTTGGTGCCTCACTGGGGATGTTGTCCCTCAGGTGGCACCTCCATGGTCCCTGGAGCACCTTCATTCAGCATGTTTGGATTCTGGACATCCAATCCCTGGGGGCTTTCCTCCATGGGGTTTTAGGATCTGCCCCTAAACCCAGGATTTTCTGGGTGTCCCAGAAGCCTGAGGAGTCCCTTGGGCAGAGGCTGTGGAGCAGAGCAGGCTGTGCCACCCCAGCAATGGCAGTGGCAGTGGTGCTTTGGGAGCTCTCAGACCGGATTTGCAGCAGGAGTTGGGAATGCCTCCCTCGAGGAACTGTTCTGGTGTGTCCTGTGGGGTTTGGGACCCGGAGCCTCCGGGATGTGCGTGCTGATTTGGATCCCAGCTTACTGCCAGTTCCCATTCCCGATGGGATCTTCAGGCCTGTGTGAGGAGAGCAGGAGGAATTTTGTTTCCCCCACTGGAATTGGAGCCCCATTCCAGCGTGAGTCTGCCTTTCCCGTGGGCTGAGCTCCACTGACGTGTCCCTGCCCTGTCCCGCAGCGGCTCTGACGGAAAGGCTCTGGAGACGCTTCCCGCGGCCGACGCCGGGACGGCCGCTGCCCCCCGAGGAGCCCGGAACAGCGCGGCCACGCACACGGACGGGCATCAGAGAGTGGCCACTGCTGTCACAACTGCCACAGAAACGGCCACGAGAGACAGGTGAGGGCACAATCCTGGCGTGGCTGGGTGGGCAGGGACCCCAGAGCCCCTGCAGTGCCACCCTGCCATGGCAGGGACACTCCCACTGTGCCAGGCTGCTCCAGCCCCAGTGTCCAGCCTGGCCTTGGGCACTGCAGGGATGCAGGGGCAGCCACAGCTGCTCTGGCAATTCCAGCCCAGCCAGGAATTCCTCATGGCCAAGATCCCATCCATGGCTGCCCTCTGGCACTGGGAGCCATTCCCTGTGTCCTGTCCATCCCTTGTCCCCAGTCCCTCTGCAGCTCTCCTGGAGCCCCTAAAGTCATTCTTGGGGCATCTCATCCTCTGCCTTGGAAGCCAAAAAATGGGATGTGCACAGATATCCCTCCTCCTGGGTGGGTTTATTCCAAAGAAGAGATTGGGAGGGTTTGTTCCTGCAGTTCTCCTTTCCCAGGATTTGAGTTTTGGTTGTTGGTGCCTCACTGGGGATGTTGTCCCTCAGGTGGCACCTCCATGGTCCCTGGAGCACCTTCATTCAGCATGTTTGGATTCTGGACATCCAATCCCTGGGGGCTTTCCTCCATGGGGTTTTAGGATCTGCCCCTAAACCCAGGATTTTCTGGGTGTCCCAGAAGCCTGAGGAGTCCCTTGGGCAGAGGCTGTGGAGCAGAGCAGGCTGTGCCACCCCAGCAATGGCAGTGGCAGTGGTGCTTTGGGAGCTCTCAGACCGGATTTGCAGCAGGAGTTGGGAATGCCTCCCTCGAGGAGCTGTTCTGGTGTGTCCTGTGGGGTTTGGGACCCGGAGCCTCCGGGATGTGCGTGCTGATTTGGATCCCAGCTTACTGCCAGTTCCCATTCCCGATGGGATCTTCAGGCCTGTGTGAGGAGAGCAGGAGGAATTTTGTTTCCCCCACTGGAATTGGAGCCCCATTCCAGCGTGAGTCTGCCTTTCCCGTGGGCTGAGCTCCACTGACGTGTCCCTGCCCTGTCCCGCAGCGGCTCTGACGGAAAGGCTCTGGAGACGCTTCCCGCGGCCGACGCCGGGACGGCCGCTGCCCCCCGAGGAGCCCGGAACAGCGCGGCCACGCACACGGACGGGCATCAGAGAGTGGCCACTGCTGTCACAACTGCCACAGAAACGGCCACGAGAGACAGGTGAGGGCACAATCCTGGCGTGGCTGGGTGGGCAGGGACCCCAGAGCCCCTGCAGTGCCACCCTGCCATGGCAGGGACACTCCCACTGTGCCAGGCTGCTCCAGCCCCAGTGTCCAGCCTGGCCTTGGGCACTGCAGGGATGCAGGGGCAGCCCCAGCTGCTCTGGCAATTCCAGCCCAGCCAGGAATTCCTCATGGCCAAGATCCCATCCATGGCTGCCCTCTGGCAGTGGGAGCCATTCCCTGTGTCCTGTCCATCCCTTGTCCCCAGTCCCTCTGCAGCTCTCCTGGAGCCCCTGCAGGCCCTGCCAGGGCTCTGAGCTCTCCCCCACTGAACATTCCTAACTCTCAGCCTCCCTTCATGTTAGAGATGCCCCATCCCTCTGATCACCTTGGAAGGGGTTGGAACTAGACAGCTTTTAGGTCCCTTCCCACCCAGGCCATTCCCTGATTCCATGTTGATTTTCCCCTGCCAGGGGCTCTGAGCTCTCCCCCACTGAACATTCCTAACTCTCAGCCTCCCTTCATGTTAGAGATGCCCCATCCCTCTGATCACCTTGGAAGGGGTTGGAACTAGACAGCTTTTAGGTCCCTTCCCACCCAGGCCATTCCCTGATTCCATGTTGATTTTCCCTGTAAATATTCCACGAGGCACTGGGGGAGTTCCAGAGAGCTGGTTCCTGGTTCCCTGGGCAGACAGAACACAGCCAGAGGGCGGGGCTCGGGTCCCAGCAGAAAGGCGTTCCCAGGAGGGATGAGGGAAGCTGGGGGAGCTCTCCTGGTGTGTCCCGTGTCCCTAAGGCTGCTCCCTGGTGTCCCTGCAGGAGCGACGAGGCCTTGCCCTGTGCCGAAGCCACGTTGAACGGCCCCGCTTGATGCCGCCGCCGCCGCCCTGGGACGTGTGTGAGCCAGGCCAGGCTGCTCCCTGGTGATGCAATTTGTCAATTCTTTATTATTTTTTTTTTCATTTTAATTTTATTTTTTAATAAATGCTGCATTGATGAGAGCGAGCTGGCGTTCAGGACCAGACACGCAGATCCAACAGCACCGATCCGTTCGGAAAGACACTCGGCATTGTCGAAATGTAGCATTGAGTTCAGTCCTCACGGGAATGACGGGCTCTTCCCAAGCCTTCTGCCTGATCTGAGTTGTCCCCTTCCCCGTGCCCCTGGTTTTTGTTTTGGATTTGGGGTTCAGTGCTGTTTTCCCAGTGTTATTGCACACAGTATTCAGCTTCTCTTGGGAAGGTAGCAGGTCCAGCGGCGGCCGGGGCCAGCGCACAAATCCCGCAGCCGTGTGACCAAAGTTCCTGATGGAGCTGTCCTCGGGCAGCCTTTGCACCGCTTTGTAGAGCAATAAAGCCTTACCAGAAACATTTCACAGGAGAGGAGGAATGCCAACACTTCGTGGGGGGAGCAGGGAGGGCTTGGATTGGGTTGGCAGGGCCGAGGCCGGGGCTGTCCCCGGCCGGAGCCAGGGAGTGACGCTGAGGCCCAGCTGCCCAGGGAACGGGATGTCCCTGCATTCCAGCACTGCTCCGGGCCCTCCATGGACACGTGGTGGATCAGGGCAGGGGCTGGGCCGGGTCGGAGGTGGCCTCTCCTGCCGATGGCCGTGCTGGCCCCCAGGGGACCCTGCCCACGGGGAGGTGACCAGGGTTTTGCTGGCTCTTTGGAGACTGAATTAATGTATTTGCAAATGATGATGGAAATCCTTTTTCTGTTTGTTTTGTTCTGTTTTTAAAGTTTTTAATGGATGCAGGAACAGCAACACTTTTGCACTTTGTACCTGGTGATGACAGCGTTGGGGGGGTGGTCATGGGAGAGCCGTGGGGACATCCGGATCCCTCAGGGGGGATGGGAGAGCAGGGCCAGGTGAGGGGAGCACCTGGAGCTGGGATGTGGGATGTGGGATGTGGGATGTGCCCAGGCTGGAGCCCCGCTCCCGGGAATGCCATGCTGGTGCCAGGCTCTGAGCTCACTGCCAGCCCAGCCTGGGGGGCACATGAGGGGCACTGGGAGGGAGGGGTTGGGCCACCTGGGACAGCTGAGCTGGAACCCCCGGGATGTGGAATCCTGAGAAATCCTCCCTTTGGAGCAAAGCCTGGAGCTTGGCACACAGGGAGCCAGACCGCTGCTTTGGGATGCATTCCCGAGGGTGGGAAGCACCTCCCATCCCCAGCAGGGCAGCCTGGCTGCCCAAAATCCCCTCCTTGTGCTGTGGTGTCTGCTCGTGGGATGTCCTCCCTGGGCTGGGAGGGCAGTGAGGGGAGCCAGGCGTTCCCACTGGGGCTGCCCCTGGTCCCTGTGTGCCAGGGGGTTCTGCCCAGGGAGCAGGGGCTGGGTCCCAGGAGCTGCTGCTGGAGGTGGCTGGCATCCCGGAGGGCACTGGGGCTGTGGGCCACTCGTGTGCTGCTGGCAGGGCTGGGCTGTCCCCCAGCCCCCATTCCTTGGGAATCAGGTGGTGCAGGGCTCTTGTTCTGGAAGTTTTCACTCGCTGAATTAATATTAAATTAATAATTTAAAGTTAATTGCACTGGGAGGGAAAAAAAAAATCTCACTTTGTGCTTTGCTTCCCCTGCTTGGTGTTCAGGGATCAATCCCACTCCAGCCAGGACTCTCAGACAGGATCAGTGGCTTTGAGGTCCTGACTGGAGACACATTAAAGTCTTAATTTTCCAAGGATTGGTGCTAGAGTTCTGCTGTACATCGGGCATTCCTGGGCCCCAGAGCTGATTCCACGGAAGCTGAAGGATCCATGTGCTGGTACAGCCTGGCTGGATCCCGGGGGATGGCAGGGTGCCCTTCCAGCCTGTTCCCCTGCCTGCCCCGGGGGCAGCTGTGCCCAGATCCGTGTGGGATCGGGGGGCGAGGGAAATGTCCCACAGATGGATCATCCTTCCAGCTCGGACCCTTCCCGTGGGAGCAGTGCTTTGGGTGGGGTGGGGTCACAGCAGGGTCCCCTCACGTGGCATGAGGGACAGGACAGGGCCTCCACCCCCGAGCTGCTGAGCTTTGGGAGCAGTGGTTCCACCTGGGCAGGGATGGGGCAGCAGTGACCCCACGGTGGCTCCCAGAGGTGGGGCTGGCTGTGCCTTCTGCTGCAATTCCAGCCTGGCATTCCTCAGCTTTGGCTTCGAGTCCCTGAGTGTCAGTGAGAGCTTTATTAATAATAATTATATTAATAATAATGATGATTATAATAATATCCTTGGGCATATCCAGATCTGAACACAGCTCATTACTGGGGGCTCGTTAGTGGGTTAATTTATTACTTAGTGCTGAGACACATCACTGGGGCTTGGTCAGACCTGTGGAGATGCACAAATTCCATGGGTTTGGTGCCTGTGGATGATCCCTCCACGGCTGGGATTGGGGCTCTCAGTTCATTCCACCTCTCCACTCCCACCAGCCAGGGGCTGACCCAGACCCTGCTCCTGCTGCTTGGGCTGCCGGGGTTTGCAGCTCTGAGCAGAGCCAGAGCCAGCTCCTGGCCTGGCTCCGGTGCTTTTGTGGGGAAACCAGGAGTGGGAATCCTTCTGAGGCAGAGCTTCCCGTCCCTCCGGAGACACAGCGGGTGTGGAGGGCTTGGGGTGTCCCACCTGGGGTTTCCTTCTCCCTGTGCTCCGGGGAAGGGTTTCTAGGGCTGGAGCAGCATCTCTTGGCTTCTGAGGATGGAATTCCCTGTGTCCCCTGATCCCCTGGCCCTGCTGGGCTCCGTGTCCAAGTGATGAAGGCTCCCCCCAAGTCCTGCTCCACGCTTCCCTGCTGCCTCATGCCTGGAATCTCCCATATGCACAGGGTGGGGCTGGACACGGATCTGTGTCATTCCAGGGACATTCATCCACACACACTTGGATCTCGTGAGAACCCTGGGAGGGGGGCACTGGGAGCACGAGGAGCTGGCTTTTTATCTCCAGGGTCAAGAGCAAAAGCAGCAAGGCCAGGTTCCTGGGGGATGGTTCTGGAATGTTCCGTGCAGTGGCTCTGCCTGCCTGGGCATTGATCCAGGGATCCGGTGATCCCGCTGTGCCAACTGCTCCACGCTGGGATGGGAGGGGAGGGGAGTGGGCTCCTGGGCACAGTTAGAGCTAAACTCATCCCTTTGGCCAGTCCCAGGTAATTCCTGGATGGTGGCACGCCTGTCCCTGGGGGGATGTGGGATGATGGAAGAATCCCATTGTGGGGATGGGAAAGCCCCGTGGTGTTGGGAGCGTCCCCATCCCTGTCACATCGGGTGCCCCTTCCCAGGCATGTCTCCTGTGGGGGCACCTGGGTGCAGAGCTGGAGGGCTGGGAATCCCAAACCCCAGCGTGTGTGGAGCTGTGATCCCACGGCAGATGGAGCAGGGTGCTGGGATTGAGCATTCCTGGGGCTCAGGCTGGGGGGCTTCCGTACCCCCTCAGTCCAGGGGCATCCAGAGGCGTGTCCAGAGTTCCCTGCGTGTCCCGGGGGAGTCCTCTTCCCACTGCACCCTGCACCCTGGAAGGGCAGCCAGCAGGGAATATTCTGGTCATTCCCTCAGCAATTCCACAGCCAAAAACTTCTCAAAAACAGAATTCCCTCTCTTCTTGTGGCAGGCAAAATCCCGGGTCTTTGTTGGGGTCCTGTGTCCTCAGCAAAGCCCAAGGGAAATTCCCCAAGTGTCCCAAGGCTTTGCTGTCCCTGGGATGGAATCCCAAGGTTTCATCAAGAAACTCTCTTTGGAGAGCTGCAGGTGGGCAGGGAATGGAAACCCTGAGGGGCACAGATTGGAAAAAAAAAAAAAAACCAAAAAAAAACAAAAAAAAAAACCAAAAAAATCCCCCAAAAGCCCTGTGCTGCCCTCAGTGTCTGTTCCAAAGGGTTTGGGCATCCCAGTTCCCAGACCTCCCAGTGAAAGGTCTGGAGTGGAGGTGCAGGGACATTCCCAAAGAACATATCTGAAGGAAATATCATTGGAATTACTTTCTTGTTCTCCAGTGGCATCCCAGAGTTACTTTTCCCACACTGGCCAGGGAACTGTCATTAAAATCCTGATTTATCAGTGGCAATCCTTGGAGCACATCCCTGTGCCAGCCTTGAAATCCCAACCCCTCGGGGATCCCTCTCATCCTGAGGGGACCTTTCTGCCCCACTGGGTGGGCTGGGAATTGATCCATTGGAAAAAACAGAATTTATTGGAAAAAACAGAATTGATCTATCAGAAAAACTGGAGCGTGGTGCTTAGTGAAGAGCTCAAGGTGTATCCTGGGTGTGTCCTGGGTGTAACTGGGGTGTATCCTGGGTGTATCCTGGGTGTAACTGGGGTGTGTCCAGTGTGTACCCAGGGTGTGTCCAGGGTGTATTCCGGGTATGTCCTGGGTGTATCCTGGGTGTATCCTGGGTGTACCTGGGGTGTGTCCAGCGGGTACCCAGGGTGTGTCCAGGGTGTATCCTGGGTGTGTCCTGGGTGTAACTGGGGTGTATCCCGGGTGTATCCCGGGTGTATCCTGGGTGTGTCCTGGGTGTATCAGGGGCGTGTCCAGGGCGTGTCCAGGGCGTGTCCAGGGTGTACCCAGGGTGTGTCCAGGGTGTGTCTGGGCTGTATCCAGGGTGTATCCAAGCTGTACCTGTCTTCCCGCTGCCGTCTCTCATGGACTGGCTCTGAGCTGGTTTGAGCTGGGGCTCGCTGGGCTCGGTGCTGCCCTGAGAGAATTCCTGCTCCCTCCTCGCCAGCCGCAGCTGCACGTGTTGGGATTGGGAGCTGCTCTGCCATTTCCCATTCCCGCTCTCCTGGCCCCGTCCCACCTTTGGGAAGCTGTTCCTGCCATGGAACATTTCCCATTCCCGCCATGGAACATTTCCCATTCCCGCTCTCCTGGTCCTGTCCCACCTTTGGGAAGCTGTTCCTGCCGTGGAACATTTCCCATTCCCGCTCTCCTGGTCCCATCCCACCTTTGGGAAGCTGTTCCTGCCGTGGAACATTTCCCATTCCCGCCATGGAACATTTCCCATTCCCGCTCTCCTGGCCCCATCCCACCTTTGGGAAGCTGTTCCTGCCGTGGAACATTTCCCATTCCCGCTCTCCTGGCCCCATCCCACCTTTGGGAAGCTGTTCCTGCTGTGGAACATTTCCCATTCCCGCTCTCCTGGCTCCGTCCTGTGCTGCTTCCCGGTGCTCCCCTCTGGGGGACAGGGATGTGCTCCCTGGAATGCTGGCTGTGTCCTCAGGGAAGGGCTGGAGGCTCAGCCCTGCCCTGGAATGGGGTGTGCTGCTGTGGTGTATCCATGGAAACCCGGGGTGGAGGGCTTTCCTTGTGACTGTTCTCCCTTCACCTTGCTATCGGGATTTTTCCCTTTGCCCTGCTGAGACTGGATTTGGGATTTTGGTGTTACCGGTCGGGAATCGGCTCTAAAATTCAGCAGTGTTAATGAATAATTAGTGAATAATTACCTGTGTTAGTTAATGACATGTGGCAGTGGCAGGAATGGTGCCCTTGAAGCACCAACTCCAACATTCCGTCAGTGAAAGTCTGAGATCCTTTGGAAGATGGGTTGGATCAGTTCCCGCTGGTTTCGTCCTGGATAACATTTCTGACTTTATCAGGAATGCTGTTGGGCTTGGGCTGAGAATGGGATTTTTGATCCTGGTTTTTCCCTCCATGGTGGGAAGCTCCAGCAAACCCAGGGGTTTTCAGGCGTATTTAGGGCTGAACTTTGGGACAAACAAATGGAAAAGGAACAATTTGGCTCCTCCCCGGTGGCTTTGCTCACCTGAACCTCTCTTACCTCATCCAGGAAGGGCTTTGTGGTGTCCCAGCTCCCACCTGGATTTGTACAGAATTCCCAGTATTCCCTGGTAGTCCTCACCTCTCCCAGCAGTGGGATATTCCCATGGAAACTGTATTTTTGTATTTGATGCTGATGGGAAGAGAGGGATTTTCCTCTCTTCCTGAATTCGGGGCTTTTCTGGAAGGCAGAGCCTTCCCTTCTATTTTTGATTCCCTCAAATTCCTTGGACAGATGGAAACAAGGAAGAAATCCTTTCTCCTGTAATTTTGATGCCCAGAGGTAGTTTTGCAGAGCTCTGTAGGAACTGTGGGAATGCTGTGGGGATTCCCCTACAGGGAATCCCCAACCCCCTAGGGATGGGTTTGGTGCTTTTGGCAGTGAGGGCACTGCTGGAGGATGCCCTTGGCTGGATCTCATGGATCCACACATGAGGATCCACAGGCACAGCAAATGTTCTTCTCTCCATGGAAATGCTTCTCCCACTCTTCTTTCCCAAAATGCTGCTGGAGAACCTCGAGTGCCCCTGGGGTGCTGGGATTGCGACCGGGAATTCTGGCTGCTCCACTCCTGAGCCCAGAGCTGGGCCTGCAGTTCCCTTGTTCCGTGGTCCTTGTGTGCCTTCCATGTCCTCCTGTGAATTCTGGCTCCCTGGAGTCCATCTCTGGTCCTTGGAGTCATCCCTTGGTCCTTGCTGTTCCCTGCTCCTCACATCTGTTCCATGGTCCTTGCAGCTGTTCCCTGGCCCTCATGCATTCCCTGATCCCTGCATCCATTCCCATTTCCCTGCAGCCATTCCCAGCTCCCTGCAGCCATTCCCATCTCCCTGCAGCCATTCCCAGCTCCCTGCAGCCATTCCCATCTCCCTGCAGCCATTCCCTGTTCCCTGCAGCCATTCCCTGCTCCCTGCAGCCATTCCCATCTCCCTGCAGCCATTCCCAGCTCCCTGCATCCATTCCCTGCTCCCTGCAGCCATTCCCATCTCCCTGCAGCCATTCCCATCTCCCTGCAGCCATTCCCTGCTCCCTGCAGCCATTCCCTGCTCCCTGCAGCCATTCCCTGCTCCCTGCAGCCATTCCCTGCTCCCTGCAGCCATTCCCAGCTCCCTGCAGCCATTCCCTGCTCCTCAGCTCCCTGTTCCCACTCCTGGCAGTGACGTTGCACAGACACTTCAGCTCTTTCCCAGCTCCTCTCTATGGTCCCAGGAATGTTCAAACTCCAATCTGTGTCTGATTGGCCATGGCAGAATCTGGAAAAGTGGGGGAAATCCCAATCCCTTCCCTTCCCTTCCCTTCCCTCCCCTCCCTGCAGCCCTCCCCTCCCCTCCCCTGGCTCCTGTTAATTTGCAGTTAATTCCCGTGTATTCATCACATCCTGCAATTCCCATCCCTGCTCCTCCCCTCCCTCCAGACCTGCAGCTTTCCCAAAGGTTTTCCTCCCTCGGACACTTCCAGCTCTGAGGCCCCTTGGATCCAGGAGCTGTTCCAGGGCACGGCGCTGACCACACTGGTGGTTCCAAAGCAATCCAAAGCCTTGGATTTAGTCTGGAAGGAGCCACCTCTTCCCATTCCAGCTTGGATCCAGTCCTGTTCCACCCCACATCACGGGAAACAGGAGAAGGTCCTGTGCCCAAGCCCATGGAAAACAATCATTCCCAATTCCCACTGTTCCGAGTGCCTTAAATCCATCCCGATTCCAACAATGGATTTCTGTTCCCTGTGCTCTTCCCTCTGCTCCTCACAGCTCCTTATCCCACTTAGTGCATTCCTGTGTCCCAGTTAGTGCATCCCAGTATCCCAGTTCATCTCTGTATCCCAGCTCATCTCTGTATCCCAGTTATCCCATCCCTGTATCCCGGTTATCCCATCCCAGTATCCCAGTTATCCCATCCCAGTATCCCAGTTATCCCATCCCAGTATCCCAGGTATCCCATCCCAGTATCCCAGTTATCCCATCCCAGTGTCCCAGTTATCCCATCCCAGTGTCCCAGTTCATCCATCCCTGTATCCCAGTTATCCCATCCCAGTATCCCAGTTATCCCATCCCAGTATCCCAGTTATCCCATCCCAGTGTCCCAGTTCATCCACCCCTGGTGTCCCCACGAGCTCCGGGCAGAGCCAGAGCTCTGGGATTTGGTCACGGGAACCCCCTGAGCCACTTCCCTGTTGGGAATGGGGCCCCCCCGTCAGAATTCCACAGAACAGAAGGAAAACGTCCTTTGGGAATGCTCAGCCCCGGGGTTCCCTGTGGGCCATGCAGGGAGAAGTTGATCCTTTCCCAGGGGACAATGGAGATCCCGTGGGAGTGGGGCTGTGGGGCAGGGAACAGGAATTCTGTGTCCATTTCCTGTGAGGGATCCCAGACTCCAGCCTGGGCATCGCAACTGTCTCCAAGTAGGACAGAAACTGGGCTAAAAGCACCAGAAAGAAAGGATTATTCCTGGTTTTCTGATGGAATGGAAATAGTGTTTAATCCTAAATATTTTATTATTTAATGGAATTTAAATGAAAACTTCCCAGGCCTGTAAATATTCCCCCCCTTGGAATATAAACATTCCCCTGCTGGGTCTGGGGTTTGTGGAATGGAAAGGGATTTTCTGCCAGACAGTCCCAGAGAATTCCCTGGTGAGCTTTTCCCTCTTAAAATTGTCCTCCTGTCCCCTGGCAGCCGATATTGTCCTCCTGTCCCCTGGCAGCCGATAGTGGCAAACACCACGAATGCTCCGGCCTCCGGAGCGGAGGGGACAGGGCTGGGATCCAACCTTGAACCTGGACCTGGGCACCAGGGAGGGGCTGGAATTGGGAATTCCCTGGGTTGGGGTGGGGTTTCCCTGGCTGG